TATGATGACAGAGTGTTTTCTCCTCTTCATGCAACACCATGGGGTCCTTTACCCACCATGACGTGAAGAGCCGGTGGGCTTCTGTGCTTTTAAATGCTGTGAGAGACTCTCCAGAATAGGGAGAGGGGCTGAGTATGAGATAAATATATCAGGAAAACACAAATTTGGTAGCTTTCTGCCAGCTTAAGTGGGAGCAGGAGGATCACAGACTGTTTTATCGACTTTATTGAGGAACGTTTTTCTCTTCCAAAGTAAGGAGAGTAATTTTAGCCGTCTTTCACCTCTAGTTAAGTTTGTGCAGAGCAGCAAAACCAGAAATGCGGTCCCAAATATGGCGGCCACAACAGGAAAAATCATGTGACACGGAAAACTTTAAACACCTCCTCTCAAATTAAATGTGTTGCTGATTTTGAACACATCCTCTAAAGAGAGCATAATTAAATATGGCATTTGTCTGCAAATGTTAATGCAGATTAATGTATTTGGAAAAAATAAAAAATAAAATATAAAATGTGCCATAACTGTCCACATAAATGTGCACATTAATGTGGACAGACCTAGCAGAACAGAAATTTCACAAACTGAAATGAATTTGCACATTTTACATTTTGTCATTTTTTTTATCAGGGTCAGTCTACAGAAACGTCCATTTTTGTGTCCCTAGAGTTTACAGATATATTACACTTAAACCTGTTACAGGTTACAATTTATTCATATTTTAAAATAAAACAAAAAGTTATTTTAACAGTTACACCTTCTTGAGCCTCAATTTAGCAATATTTGGTTTTTAAATCGATCATCTAGAATTCCAAGCACCACAGAAGAGCTCGTCCCCACAGTCATGTGTGAAGGCTGAGGCCATATTTTGAAGAAAAAACACATCCTGCCATTTTAACTGCCATAATCTATACATGACTGTGGAATATATAAATTAAATTATATAAAGAAAACAAAGACCAAACAAATATTATAAAATATATAATGAAAGTTGTGGTCCCCCGGGAGTCGTGTCACTGGTGTTACTGAGTAACAAAAAATCTCTTATTCTGAAATAAAGGTCACGCTGATGACATCACTTGACTTCTTTTTACCTGTTTTCTGAGGATCTATGAAGAAAAGCACATGGTGAGTCCACTGTGTCTTTCAGTTATCAGAGATTTTCTCATTTAGCTCATGATTTCATATGAAGACTTTCAGCTGAAGTCACTGGTGTGACCGACTTTATTCTTAGGTTATTATGAAAAAATAGAATACAAATGGATTAAATTACATATTTTGGTGGATATTCCATGATTGCTCTGTAGCAGCCATTTTGTAAAATGCATTTTTAATTAAAAATGTCTCTGGAGTTACTTTTCTTATGTGTAACACCCGTGACGATCAGTAACACCAGTGACTCTTATGGACAGATAAAAAAGTGGACGTTTCTGTAGAACGACCCCTATAAATTTAGCCAACGTGACTTAAAACATCACAGAAGTTAACATAATCAGCAGCCACAGCAATGGAGGACAAAAGATGTGGTGTGGTCACCGTGGTCTTGACCAATGATTACATTTCTTGGCCCTGCTGCTGCTCTCTCTACTTTGGCTTTATATAGCTCAGGTATAAACTGACTAATATATATATATACATATACATATACATATATATATATATATATATATATATATATATATATACATATACATATATATATATATATATATATATATATATTTAAAAAAACTATAAAATCAGACAAAGAAATAAGAAAGGTAACACCAGTGACTCCTATGGATACACAGAAAAGTGGACGTGAATGACCCATCAATATATAACTTCAGTAAACAGTAACTGTGCATTACCGGGTGTTTTCTGTGTAGAGGATCTGTTCACTTACTTTCTCTTACAAAATCAACAAAACATTTGTATAACATTACTGGAATTTAACCGAGGTGCACAAACTTTTGCATATGACTGTCCACTGTCCACATAGCTCAACAGAGAAATCAACTGCACTGCTGCCCTCTAATGGACAAACACTCTCTACTCACCCCAAATTCCGTGACTCATTACTATGGAAGCAATCACAGAGCTCTAATTAATGCAATATCCCTCAATAATCATTTCCAGCCATAAAGATATTATGAGGAACTTAATTAAGAATAAGCGCCACATGAAATGAAATGAAATGAGGGATTAGACGCAGCGTGTAAGTGTGTGTATGCATATTTATGTGTGTGCATACGCGCGGGAGGTGCACAGACTGAGTGCTGACTGAGTGTGTATGTGTATAAAAGACTGTTACATTATCTTAAATCTGTTTATACTTTCCGTCTCATCTTGACTTCAACAGACTCTGTGTTCAAACATCAAAACTAATGTTTGACTTTTGCCGAATGCAAATTTGGGAAGAAATCAAATGAATTGGTAAAATATTGAATTCAACTGCATGTGGAGTAAATGATTTTGTTAATCATTTAGAGCTGGACACACGTCTCTGACACTGACTGTGCAAGCAGAACGCATTCTTAAGTGAGTGTGTTAATAAGAGAATATATTGGTTGTGTTAAACTTAACACCAAGTCCTTAAAGGGCCCACAGCCTACATTTAATTTTTTCTCCTGAAGTCCACTTACAAGGTCTGTAAGCCCTTGTAAGGACCAATATCAGACATAATTCATTTTTACATGACCACTCTCCAACCTCTCTTTAAAATTAACGGGCTGTTTTTATTATTGTGCCTCTAAGTAATATAAATAATCATAAAAAGGACAAAAAAGATAATCATCGATTCTTTTAAAACTCTCAGTGTTTCGAAACGGCTTAAAACACACATTCTCTGTATCCTCAATTCTGGATGCTACAGTACTGATTACATGTGTTTTATTCTTATGTATAAATGAAGAAGCACACAGCAAAACATGTTCAACTCCATGTGCATAAAAATATGTATAAGGTGTGACGTCGCATCAGTATGTTCATGAGGAAAAAATGTATCTGCAGTGAGAAAGTCTTTATTATGCTACGTCCTGGAGAGAAATTATACGTGCAATCAAGTAATCTGATCAGAGCAACTGATTCATTTTGCTCAAATGGTTCAAATGATTCAATATGAGCATCACCAGGACTGGGCAGTAAAGCAATACGTGTAACGGAGCTACATAACCAGGATATAAATAATGTTACTGTACAATTACAGGAAAAAAGACAGTAATCAGATAACAGGTACATTATAAAAACAGGGTGATTATTAGCAGGATATGACGAAACACCTCAGATCTCTATTTTTATTGTTTTCAGTTTTTCCTAATTTGAAAATGCCGGCTGTGTAGCGAGTGGGCGGAGCTCGTTACTCTGATGTAGCAACAAGCTGCTTGTTAAGGAACTATAATTTGGTGAAGGAACTGCGAACATTAAAACATATTAAACGCCGCGTTCACGGCCCAGTTTATTAATTTATTACTTTATTAATTTAACTGTAGTATAAAAGCAATAGATCACTCGAGGAGTGTGTTATCGCCAATAACATCACGGCTGTGAAGATCTATGGCGACCAAATCACAGCTGTGATGTTATTTCGCGATAACACGCTCCCTCGAGTGTTCTATTGCTTAAATATATATTTATGTATATATATATATATATATATATATATATATATATATATATATATATATAACTTTTCTATCATGCTGAAGTAAGTCAATGTTCAACTCCCACTTGGCTTTTATCTGAAATGAACGCCTCTTAAGCTTCCAACATGTCCACGTTCATTTCTTTGCACTGCCGTAACCACTGAAAGCTCAGAGACCGTCAATAAATTGCATTGCAATCAAAGTCTAAGCACAGAGCACCAATATGAGGCCCGGTAATGATTTTTTAAAGTTTTTTATCTGGTCAGTAAGCATTTATTTGCTCAGGAAAACAGTAATATTAGACATAAACACTAAATGCAAAACATTTATATAATAAGTCATGATTTTAGGTTTGTCAGTATGTTCACAATCATTTCCAAACCTGTCCTCATGACAGCCCAGTTTTAATTATAATAATCAGCCAGTACCTAGACTGTCTAATCAATACTTCATTATATTAAATGAGTAGTGCTGGTAATGGATTTGAAAAAACTCCATGGAATGGCTGAGGACAACCAGGAGAAATCTGGAATTCTTCAGACACTTTTCTGAAAATAAGAAGTCACTGCATTAACGTCTGCATTTCGCTGCTGTCGGAACAAAACCTCGCATCTCCATTTTTATCGTTGTTCAGTTTTTGACATAATTTGAAAATGCCTGTTACTCTTTACATTGTGTGTACATTTGATTAAGAATGGACCAAAGTAAATGTCCCAGAATGACTTGGAAAAATGTCTGGTTCCATTGACTTACATTAAAAGTAAAGCAGGTTTTTTCCTTCTCCTGTAAAGTTATCATTTTGGAGATATGAGGTTTTCTTCTGACAACAGCAATTAATTCTAATGTTATAAGTGTTTTTTTAAGGAAGAACTCACTCGTTGTCCAGATAAATGGCTGTATAGAATTTGCTTTGGACTTTTGCACTGCACTGTATGCAGATAAACTCCATTTTAATTGTCTCTCTTGAATTATGTCTCATTCAAAAAGCAGTTCAGGTTGAAACACACCTTCAACATGATTGGGCTATATATATATATATATATATATATATATATATATATATAGAGAGAGAGAGAGAGAGAGAGAGAGTTTCATTCCATATTCTCAGGTTTCATTCCATATATTCAGGGTTTTCAGTCAATATATATATATATATATATATATATATATATATATATATATATATATATATATATATATATAAATAATTTCCTAAATGGCATGCCATGTATATACTTCATATAAATTCCGTTTTCAGTTTTCTGGGACCTTTAACTGGACATGCAGATGTGTTAAAAAATAAAACACTAATATTGCTTTCATTATTTTTTTCTGTTTTGAGAGTGCGGTGTGTCATTTAGCAGAAAATGATTCCCTTACATGAGTCCAGTGAAGCCTTTGGGGCAGCCGCACAGGAAGGTGTTGCCCACTGCTTTGCAGTCTCCTCCGTTCTGACAGGGCGTGGGAACGCAGGACGTGACCTCTGTCTCACAGCGGGCTCCGGTGTACTGCGGGGGGCAGCCGCAGGAAAACGCTGTGGGGTCACAAGCATGATGATTAGACAATATGACAGGTATCCAGGCCAAAGGTTCAGAAAGTTCAGTAAAAGTTCAGTAAAATACACATTTTTGAAGAGATAACAGACAGTAATGTGTATTAATATGGAACGGGATGTCTGCAGCGATAGAGTTCGATCAACTGATTCTCTGTTGTTGTGCAGAGTTTTACTGCAGCTCTAACTAGACCCACCTGAAGTTCCTGAATATTCAATGAACTGAAATTTTAATTTGAAAAGGAAAAGTTCATGAAAAAAGTTTAAGTTGGCTGACAAAGCCAGTTAATAATGTTTCAAAAGTTAAAGCAGCTGCAGAAAACTGTCGACTGTTTTCGATGACTTAATCGGATTAATATGGTAATTCCAGATAGTTGCTACGAGGTTGCTATGGTATTCCAGCTTGTTGTTAGGGCCTTGCTTGGTGGTTGCTAAGATATTGCTATATTAGGTGGTTATCAAAGTGTCGTTAGGCCGTTACTATGATATACCAGGCAGCTGCTAAGAGTTTGCTAGGCTGTTGCTATGGTATCCCAGGTGGCTGCTAAGGTGCTGCAAGGCCGTTATTGTGGTATCCCAGGTGGCTGCTAAAATGAGGTATGTACCTTTAAAACGCAGCTCACATCTTTTATAATACCTTCATTCTGAATTGTGGAAAACAGTAGAAATATGGAAAACCCTGTCCTGAACATTTCGAGTTTTCCTTTCTCTAGACACCTATATCAACTCAGGAAAGGCTAATTATTTGGATCACCAAACTGTGCAAGACAAGGAGACACCAGGACCAGGGGTGGGAACCACTGCTGTACACATGCCTTCATATACATCACAATTATTGTAAATACAAATTGCACATGTGGCAATTACAGGGGGAAACTTTGTAAACAATTCTGATTCCTGTGTTTCTAACTTGTTACCGATCTTTAACTTTCATCATGCCACGGCGAAAGGGTACAGGGCTATTTACTTTTCTGAATGCGACTTAAATGCAACTTAACTTAAACACCTATGTTTGGTGTCACATGTCATACTAATCCTTATACTGATCAAATTTACATTTACAATATACATTTATTATATTTGGGAACAACAAAAGTTATTACTTGATAAATAATACTGTAATTAGCCATATAATATTTTGTCAGCAGTCTTACAGCTTCAAGCTAATCGTTTGAACCCTCAGAAGTTACACAGTACAAGTATCAGATTATAATTTGGGCCTAACCAACATACCTTATAGTATAGCACAGTAGCACAGACTTATAGGGTTTTGCCCTATTTTTGGGAGATCACAACCAAAAAGCTGCTAATTATCAGTGCATTATTGGCGATATATTCTCTGGTTCTGTTAAAACTGCTAGTCTTCAGTAACAACTAATATTATCAGCTAACTGACATATTGGTCAGGATCTAATTAGAATCTTTTACTTTTTTTACTACTTTGTATGTAACTTTTGTAAGTTTGTAAGTAAGTTTTGATGTAAATTATTGTAACAGTCATTTTGGGTTGTTTCTATCAATACGTTTGTCTTGAAATTTTGAATGTAATTGGCAGCTGGAACTTTGAAATTATGTAAAAACGTGAAAAATGGAGATACAAAGTTTTGCTTTGACAGTGAAAATCTGCAACCAGATAAGTTTTTGCATTATTGAAAACAGTGATTCCAGACTTTTGAACATTAGTATGTACATTATTACATTGCAGGAAAATGTTAATCAAAACAGATTAAACTAGATAATTATCTAACCTTTCATCTGACTACAAAGCACCTAATGCCAAGACTTTACAGGTGTGAAACAGGACCATCCAATTAGCATGCGAATGCAGCAAAAACCGTCACACACAACACAGTTCCACGTCTTACCACCAGAGGGCATGCTGGCGCATGTGGCTCTGTTCTGGCAGGGCGCTCCGAGGCAGGGGTCAGGGTACAGCACACAGCCCAGCTTTACCTCACTGAGGGCGGCCACCTCTGCGTAGCGGCTCCTCTTGTTCTGCAGTGGGAGCTCATTTCCATTCAGCACGGCCGCGCCCAGGCAGCCCTGGAAGCCGTCCCGCGGACGCGGGGGTCCCTGCCCGCCTCCAGCCGACGCCGGCCCACGCACCACCTGCGCCCCGAAGAACAGCGAGCCGTCGGCGGCCAGCGGCCAGAGGTGGACGGGGGCCCGAGCGGCCCGCCGGCGCTCTACGTAGCTATCATCCAGAGAGAGTAGTGTGTAGTTGCGGGTCAGCTCAAGGGTCACTGCGTGCCAGGAGCCATCGTTGATGGGACGACCCGATATGCCCAAGATGTCCAGGCTGTTATCGCAGTCCAGCTGGAACCACAGGCGTCCCTCCTCGATCTAAGCACACATTAAAAAAGCTTTTTTCATGACATTCACTTGATTAAATGCTTGAAGTTGAAACGTGTTTCCACACAGACTTTTACTTGGTAATGAAATAAACGACTAAAGGTCTGACAGTTTTTGTGTGTATGGGATTCTCTAACATGAATTCCGATCTGAATTTTCTCAAGATCGCATGGCCACAAATCAGATACGGATCAGATTTAGGACCACCAAATTAAATCTGAGCAAAAAAATCAGAAAAAAAAATGTGAAATGAGTCTTGTAATGTGAACACAGCCAAAGTGAATCAGATCTGATTCGAAAAGATCAGATTTGCGTGTCCACACAGCTCTGAAAACAATCAGACGTGTCTCTTTAAGGTACAAAATCGGATTTGTGCCACTTCAGCCTGGTAATGTAGCTCAGTTACTCTTTTTTAGATAACTCTGTTTTCTTTCTACAGGTTTTACTCCAGCTTTGCTCCCCCTCTACAGGACAGCTGTGACATCACCCAGCTCTTATAAGATAATAAAGACCCCTGCGCCACCATTTCTCTGGATTCAAGGTAAGTGTACACATTTATTAATCTCCTACAATGTCTCTTATTAATGAGGTGTAATGTCTTAGACAGTGTCCTGGCCTCTGACATCATCACACTGGGGCTCTCTCGTCTGTAGCGTCTTTGTGCATCGTTTTCATATTAGCATGATTAGATGCTTTGACAGATTGCCCACAGTCAGCTGTTGCAGGCAGCACATGCACCCGCAAACGACAGACACTTTCATTTTGCACTATACATCATTTAATGTTGCACTAGTATGTTGTATATCCTACCTATTGTATTCATATTTATGTCCTTATTTATCTTTATTTCTTTTCGTTCATGTCTTTCCTGTCAATTCTAGAGCTGCTAAAGGGTTTTTCATTGTTTTGACAGTAAAGATCTATCTATCTATATGAGTAATGCAAGTAATTACTGCAATTTGATTACATGAATTTAAAGTGTGATGTGTTACGTTACCTTTAAACTGGAAAAACTCACCTTACATTACTTTGTACTTCACACTGCATTCATATGTTTACATTGAAAAAAAAATGCTGCTCCACACTTCACAGTTTGCATGCAGCCAATGATGGCTTTAGCAGAGCTTTAGCGGTGTAGATTTTATGATTTTGTTTGTTTGTGTGGAATTCAACAATGAGAAGTTTGGCATCCATGGCTTCCAGAAAATCTAGTTTACTTCACTTCTGTGGATGTTGGCAAAAGTTAGGAAAATTGAACTCATAATGGGATGTTTTGCGCACTGCTGCCGGTGGAAGAATTCGGAATATATGGTTTGTTGTTGTCTACTGCAAACATGTGAACGCAGCATTAACCCTAGCATTGCCAACCACTGCTTTAACCTGCAGTCACACTAGAATCTTGCAGTTTACATCTCCTAGTGAAATATGTCTGACTAAGGCTGCACCAGTGGGTTGGTGACAATAAAGGTCCCCTATATACTATAAGCAGTAAAAACACAAAGTGAACATAATTAAACTGTATCATTATATTATCACAAGAGCACAGTGCTGCACAATGAGTTGCAAAAACTGTACGGTAACTGGCGTGGTCAGCGGCAACGGTATAACTGGTGCATGCAGCAGCTGTTAGCCAAGCAGCTAACTTAAGCAGCTAGTAAACTGGCATACAAAAGTAAAGAGCACCTATACACCTAATACAGTCTCCTGACTGTGTAACTGATACAGTCTCTCTTTAATGTGCTTATTTATAGCCATTGTGAAAGAAATGTTCTAAGATTTGTGTTTAGACACGGATAAAATTAGCTTTCCCTCAATTTTAGATCTTAAGTGCTAAAACCCGTCCCATTCGAGGTCCCTGCAGCCAAAGGATGTGAATTCATATGTCAAAGTTCATCGAAGTCTAACTCCATGCAAATTTTCACATGCAAGTTTTAGTAGCTCTGGAAATCTGTGATGCAGAACTGTTTTTATGGCTAATGCCTTTGTTATGAATGCACCTGCACTCATGCAGTTTCACTGACAAAAAGCCAGTGTGCCTTAAAGGAGGTTAGAAGAGGAAAAAAGAGAAGAGGGACTGCAGATATTTTGTGCACCTAGAGGAATGAAATGTCATTGGAATGGAATTCCATTCAGTCTTGGCCTGATGACTCATCCTGAATTTAATTCTACTGCTTTATCGATTGTTCCAGTCCAGCTCGCTTCAAAATCAACTGCATTTTGTCAAACGCGGTCCAAAACAAAACCATCAGCAGTTTCGTTCGTCCTTGACCAATAAAAGAATTAAAGTGTGTTTGAGATCGAGGGGGCTGCAGTGGCCTGTGTCTGTGAGTGAGTGACAGAAAGAGAGAATTAAGTAATCCTGTTTTATTCGCTTTGTGGGGACCAAACCCCACAAGAAGAGAACACTTCTGACATTGTATGGAGGAGAAATGCTTTTCCTCAACTGCTGCAGCTTTCATTTGAAAAAACTGAGGGCTAGAAGATGTTTTTCCTCATGTTTAGGGTTTGGGACCAGGTCTAAGGTTAGCAACAATAATACAGAGTTCAGTAGAAAGCACTCGTATAATCAAGACTATGACAATGTGTTGATGTGTATGTGTGGCTGTGTTTACAGATCTTTGTGGGGACCAAGGGCTTCATTTATAAAATATTATTGATCATCCCACCGAATTGGTTCAGAGTTCAGGACTCCTATTTCAGACTTTATTCAAACTGACCTGGACTTTAGACTGTGTGTGCTTTGAGTGACCCTATACCTTAATACTGTTTACTCTATCATAATAATGGATTGAACATTCCATTTTGTCACTACCAATGTTAGCACCAAAACTATGAAAACATATTTGCACCAAAAAAAAAATGTTTTGGTTGTTTACATGCACTTAATTAACTGCAGAAAATCAGATTTTGTCAGTAATCCGGTCAACACGTTTACATGCACTTGAGTAATCAAACTCCAGGTCTATATGAGTTGGGCAGTAATCAGATTTCTGCCTTGAAACCAGCCAATAAACTCACAGAAGAAGACGTGATGGAAACTCAAACTGAAAATATGAACACACATCATCTAGAAGATGAAGAATATTTGAATCTTTTATTTCGTGTTTGGTTTCAGCGCCCCTCCAAAAGTGTTTCGCTGCGTCTCGCGACATCCACTGTCTGATCTCTCGCATGTGCAGACTCAGAAATCTGACAGAAATCAGAGCAAGAGTTTACATGCACTGAGAAATCTGATTACTGAGCTAAAATCCAGCTCTCTTTATTGGATTTCTAGATCGGAGTATGGTGTTTACATGACCATTTCCATAATCGGATAACCACAGAAATTTTCTGTAGAACTGCTGTGTCTGATCAACTCGGACCAGCGCAACACACACTAACACACCACCACCACGTCAGTGTTACTGCAGTGCTGAGAATGATCCACCACCCAAATAGTACCTGCTCTGTGAGGGTCCATGGGGGTCCTGACCACTGCAGAACAGGGTAAAAGGGGGCTAACAAAGTATGCAGAGAAACAGATGGACTACAGTCTGTAACTGTAGAACTACAAAGTGCACCTATATAGTAAGTGGAGCTGATAAAAATGGACAATGAGCGTAGAAACAAGGAACAAGGTGTATATATATTATGTCTAATATAATGTTTGGTCAGTAGGGGGAGCAGTGCAGTCACTGCTCAACCTCAAACTCCTACCAACAAGCACAGCCTTTGGCCACTGAATGCTGTCATTTTATTGGCTCAAAATATCAAAATATCTGCATGAATGAGGGATTAATGTAAATACGGTGTAAATGACCTACTGGTTGGCAGAGGTTTGATTTCAGGCATTGAAGCTATTCATCATTTGCGCTCAAATCTCTGTTTGTTTCCAAGTTATATTAAAGATTCATGAATCAGACACAGAATAGTCTGTACATCATTAAATGTGGTCCAATCTATGCTTTTTCCCCATCATTTGGCTTATTTTAGACCATTTCTATTACTCTGTTGGTCCAAAGCTCACTAGAAATACACCAAATAGAAAGGAATACAAACTTTTGTGTGTGTGTGCTGCGCTGTGTGTGTGTGTGTGTGGGCGTGTGTGTACTGACCTTCAGCATGGTACAGGGGTCAGCGCGGGTGTACATGATGACTCCTCTGCTCTGCAGGGTTCTGATCTTCAGGCTGAGCTTCATGTCCTGACCCTTACTGCTGTCAGTCACTCTGTACTTAATATAGCTATTTCCAGCAAAACTCAGAGACGTTTGACCTAGAACAACATAACAGAACATACGATAGAACATGCATGAACACAAACCAGACATGGAATGACACCACTTTTTCTTTTCCAATACAAATATCAATACTGAAATCTTTGATATTATTAATCCTGATCAAATGTTTTTTTCTCTACCATTTGTTTCTACTGCTCCTCCATTTATGATGCTTCTTAAATGGTAGAGCGAGCATCACACTGAACTCTCTCTCTCTCTCTCTCTTCAGTTAAGATGATTAAACTGGGAGCAGAATATCGGCCCCACTTACTACAACTCCACCCATTTTTGTGTGATCCTCCCAGGTTTTGCTCAGATGCATATGTATGAAGGAAAATGATAATTTTGCTTGTATATTATGCCAAAGTCTTGATGTCTCTGGTCAAATTATATGTTTTGTTGATTTTCTAAGTGTAAATGCATTAAGACGTTCCTACAGAGAACACATCTGCACATTTGAATGCACAGATAATGTTTATTTGCTATATTTAACATATTGGGGGAAAACTAAATATTATATGTTTGGCACATTTTAAATGTTTTTACATCTTTTTTTTATCAATATGTTAAACTCATCAAATAAACTGAAATTGCGCACTAAAAATGGTCAATTTTATACATAATGTAAATTTTTTTTAACTAATATTTTAAACTCAGCAAAAAATGGACATTGTGTACTAAAAATTATTTTCACATGTAATCTGCCACGGGGAATTCAAACCTTTGCATACAGATGCACACGGCATAAACTGACCTGTATGCCAGATTTGTACACAACACGTGAGCAGAATGCGGCCCATTTATGCCTGAAACTGGCCCAAAAGGCTTAGTAGGCCTACATCTGACCCTGAGTTTCACTGACCTGTGCACTGGTCCAGTGTGCCAGGCAGACACTGGCAGACAGAGGGCGCTGTTGGGCCACTGCGCACACACTGCATGTCAGCCGGACAGGCCTGGCCTTCACACAGCTCTAAAGAGGACGGACATATTCCACCTGCCAGAAGGAGGATTTGTTAACTCACAAACTATACAGAGCAAAAAAAGTGTACCAGAAAAAAACTTTAGCTAAATATCAGTTAACATGCCTAATAAACGACGACAAGGCAAACAGCCAAATGGTACTAAAGTCAGTCTTTGAGGATTGTTTGATTTTTATTCTGTTGGTGAAAAGTTGGGATCATCATTAATAAGTTGATTAATGTTTTCAATAATATAAAAACCATTGAGTAGCAGGTATAGCAATTATTCTAACACAATGCTAGTAGGCCACTCTGCAGCATCAGATTTTTCATCTAATTTGTAGGATGAGTTGTAGAAACTTCCAAATATGATCGTCTTGATGCACAAAACTAAAGAAATTAATATCAATAGTATCACAGTTAATATTTATCATTTAATAACTTCCAACTGTTCCTAAAACATTTTAAAAACTTCTAAAATATTTTGTACAATTTTACAATCTATACTGTACAAGTTATTTCTTAAATGGCCCATATCTTATATTTTGATTTTTTATTTAATTTTTTCCTATGAGGTCCACTTATAAAATCTGTTGGGTTTTATGTACCAAAAACATCATAATTCATTTTTACATGATTATAAACCTCTTAGAATTAAAAAGCCTGTTTTGATTACTGTGCCTTTAAGACTGATATCTGTAAATGATCTCGTTTCTGATATTCTGTCCTGAATTGTGCCTCATTTATAAAGCGCTCAGAGCTGAAACACTGCTTAGAAGGTCAACATGAGTGGGCGCTGCTCACCAGCCATAGGTGGATATATGTAGGTGAGTTGGTTCTCATGACATCATAGAAAAAATGTATTCAAAACAGGTGGTTTTTGTAGCTTACTGTCCATATATGGACTGAGGACTGAATAATACCTTTTGAAACTTATATAACTATTATAACTATAAATATTATACTTAATATTTACATATTATTTCAAACTCCTTTATTTAAAAAGGGAGGGAAATATAATAATATGATGTGACTGTTGTGTAGTTTAGGGTCGGAGGTGAACAGAGCTGTTACCTGGGCAGGTGCAGCTCTCTGTCCGAGCAAAGCGTGGCGAGACGAAGCTGACTCTGGACGTGCTGTAAGTGACCAGGCCGTTGGGCTCCAGACTCAGGCTGAGCTCGCACACCCTGTCCCCACAGTCCAGCTCACCTGAACAGCTCTGATCCACCACGTCCACCATCTGCAGCACAGAAGAACACTCATCATGTAAAACTGTAAAATATATTGAAAATGTTTTAAAGGCAGTAATACATACTAAAATCATTATTAATCATTATACGTATTATAGATATAGACCTTTCATTGGACCTTTATTCATAAGGATATATTTTATTAAACTTCATATATTTATATTTGATGTATATATTTTACATTATAAAAGAGATTTAAGCTATTAATTTTTGTCTAAAGTGTTTCCTTCCAATGTGACTACATGAAAAGACAGTAATTTGTACTTAGTTATTAAAATTCTATGTATTTGAGATGGTATGATTACCGCAATCTTATCTCAATAAAGTCTAATAGGGCTGCAACAAATATCTGATAAGTTCTATAATTAAAATATTAGAAAACAGAAAAGCCATTTGGATAACAGATGTTTTTATTCCATTTTTATGAACCCAGGAATCTCTGTGGGGAAACGTTTGCACATGTTCTACAGCATAAAGCGGTTTTAGCGGCTTAAAAACCTCCATCACTCTTCTGTTCTCTGATAAGCGTTTACTCAACAGGTTTCATTTGTAAGATGACGGCTAAAAGACGTTGTGTCGGTTCTTTTTTGCGCCGTCCATTGCTGTTCAGAGCCAGATCAGGGTTGCCAGATTGGGTAGAATCAGAATAAGTTTTACTATGAAATAATTAAGCTATAATAAGAATAAAAAAGTTTCTAATCAGTTATTAAACTAAAACATATGTTTCACAATTGTTCTAGATTTTTTTTTAAATATTCAAGATAATATGCGATAGAATACTCTAAAATGAAAATATTCAAGACTTGCGGCTCTAAACACAAAACAAACCGAAAAGCAAAATGAAGCATAATGCATTTTCCCTTCAAAGCTGTGACGTATTTTTGAATGAAACAGTTTCGGTGGGGGGGGTGGTCTCTGCTGCATTTTATTATTATTGGCCAGTTACTGTTGATTCCTGTGGGCTGTCATAACCACTATAAGAGCCAAACAACTGTATACAAACTACAAAACTGTCTACAAGGGGCAATAATTGGGGTCCAAGCACGACGCGCCTTATGGAAATTTTTACAATGGACTTTTTGCAATAGATGTGGGGTCTCAAAAGAAGATGTCTGCCAAATTTCATCCAGACTGACCTTCTGAACTTGGTATGGTAAGCAACAGATTTTTAACCAAAAAGTCAAAATACTTTTAAAACAGTACAATATTTTGCACCAGAATTCCATGTTAAAAATCACTAAAATGTTCTAGGAGTGATGCTGCTGGACCTGCTACAGTGGACTGGTTTCATCTTTGTTCACATTTCTGGGTTAACTTTTAAAACTGGTAATCTGTTCCTTACCTTGAGCGCTCCTCTCATCTGCCCCCGCACCTCCCCCAGCCTCAGCGCCAGCTCCCCCGGCCCCACATAGCCTCCGTCCTGCGCCTCCACTGCCAGAAGCACTTCCAGATCTGAGGAGCGCCCCACCGGCTGCACCCCTAGGATGTGCAGGGGGTCCGGGCTCTGGGCCACTCCACCCGCACCCAGCCCTGCTTCCCCCAGTGCCGTCTGCAGAGCTCTCTTCACGTCCTGGAGGTACAGGCCCACAAAGTCCTCCGGGGAGAGGTCCTGAAAGCGCAGAGTAACCGCGTTCTGCACCATCTCCTCCGTGGCCTGCTCCACCTGCACCGTCACACCCACCGTCACCGAGAAGCGGCCGTCGCTGACCGTCGCGTTCATGAAGTACCTGAGAAGACATTATGGTCTCACTGATAAAATATCAATAATAAACACACCAGATATGCACTTGTTAGTGTGTTAGTGTGCGTTATTTTATATTTTCTTCACAGAAAATGAGCAAAGGCCAAGGAATCTGGGGTTAAATTAATAAATCACATCATTTTTTTTTTTTTTTTTGAAAAACATTGAAAATGGGTCCCACAGACACCAACACCACACAAGGGTTAAACAAGAAGTCAAACAAACCAAGGAGAGATCAACAAAAGACGCCTCCCCACATTTCTACCTGCCCGGCTCCAGTCCGCTGAGGGCAACAATCTTGCCGTCCTGCCGGTTGATCTTGAACAGGCTCTTGGGCTGAGGACGCTGTGTGAAGGACAGCACGTCATTCTCGTCTCGGTCAGTGGCGTAGATCCTGCCAATGATGCCTCCGGGGAAGACGTCCGCAGCCATCACCACGCTAATCTCCAGAGGGAAGGCCACAGGCTTGAAGAGGCTGTCTCCAATCACACGCACGAACACGAAGGAGGAGGATGACAGCTGAGGCTTGCCTAAGTCCCGAGCCTTCCTCACAACAGGATCAGAGTGGAAACGACACGCAGAAGGTTATAGATCTCAGATATACAATACTCAGATATGGCACTGATCTGAGCCAGTATCAGATTAAGGATTTGAGGATTGATGAAGCAAAATTTGTCAATGGAATTATTTGGTTTGTAAGAAACAGAAAATACAACTTTTAAGACTGAAATTTGGAGGTGTGGAAAAATATCCCTGAGATTTCTTAGAAAAACTGAAAGCAAGACTCCTTAAAAGACCAGAAGCGAAGGTGAAGGGTGACCATGCTAAATACTATATATAAATACTAAATATTTAGATATTCAGTTGTAAAAACTTCTCTGTAATTTAAATTTTGTTTTCTTGCCTGATAAAAATAAAAAATGAATAACTTCTACTTAATAGCTGTTTGGGTGGAAATTAAATAAATTAAAAGGTCCTTGATTTTTGCACAGTGTTGTATCTTTATTTATTTATTTATTTATTAATCAACAGAAAAACACTGAGGTTGTGTATTATTTCCAGTAAAAATATTTCATTTTAAAGCTTAGTTTTCAAGAAAAAACATGGATTGGTATCGTTATCAGCCATACTCAATCAGTATCAGCAATATAAAAGCTGGTACTGTGCCACCTCTAAATGCCAGTGTTTGTATTTATTCCTGTCCTGTTTTTTTAGATGTAGTCATAGTTGTTTTCTATTACAGCAAGTCTCTGCAGGCTTAATGAATTTAGCTGAAAACAACATCAAAAAAAGCTCAAGTTAGCACAGCAAAGCCTTTTAGAACTGATACACTACATTCGAAGAGAATTAGCTACGTTTTGAAAGATAAAAGATAAATCTGAGGAACTTGAAAGGATTCTGAAGCTCTTTGCTTCTTTATTTCAAAAGAGACTGTGGTCAGCCCAAACAGTCTAACAGGCTAATCAGTTGCTTCATCTTCTGGTAGCACCTAGGGAGGATTAGAGAGGATTAGCAAGGGCTTTGACTGGGGAACGAAGAATGCACATCTTTTTTTTTTTTCACAGTTTATAACGGCACGCATACTGTAGTATGTTCTGACTGTAGTACTTAGACATATTTTAACCTGGTCACGTTTATTTTGACCTCATACACACACACACACATCATCTAAGCCGCTTCTTCTTCTGGGTCACGGGGGGTGCTGGAGCCTATCCCAGCTGTCATCGGGCGGAAGGCAGGATACACCCTGGACAGGTCGCCAGTCCATCGAAGGGGAGACAGACAGACATACACAGTCACTCACACACTCACACTCAGGGGCAATTTAGCATCTCCAATTGGCCTGACTGCATGTCTTTGGACTGTGGGAGGAAACCGGAGTACCTGGAGGAAACCCACGCAGACACGGGGAGTGACCTCATACATTTTTTCTTTATTTTTTAACACTATTTAAAAAACACCAGCTGACCTTCACATTGTGGGAACATGTCATGACAAATGGACCAATAGAAAGGATGCAATAATATGCTTATGACAGTAACAATATTCAGGCAGAAAGAATGGAAGCAATGTAACCTCTACAATAGAGCCTTAAAATATGAAGCTTACTACTGAATAAAATTAATATCTAAGCACAAAAAAAATGTTCATATCGATAAATTACTGACATTTTGTGGATGTAGTTTTTCATTGCACTCTATTCAGTATTGACAATCATACTTTTAAATCTGGCCAACATACAAAGAATTTTAAGAAAGATTTTCTACAGGGGGGTCCAAAGTTCCCAAAATTTGTCTGTTTGGTGACGTAGATCGTAGGTCAGTTTTTCCAAAGGAAGCAGCGTAGCAGCTTGGGAAAGCCACTGCTCAACAGTTGGCGAAGTGGGACTGGCCCATTGAATGGGGATACATTTTTTGGCCAGAAATGAAAACATCAGAAACAAAAATTTGCCATCAGTATCAAAAATATGTTCTGCTCCTATTCCCAAAAGATACAGGGCAGGGGCCTCTAATAATCATGTTTGGAAAATATTTGTACCGTAATAGGTGCTCTGTCCCAGAATGTGCCAGTTTTTTAACATCACCAAAAGGCATGAAAGAACGTTCCTTTTTCAATTTTACATTTAAAGCACAAATTTGATCTGTCTGGCAACATTTTTTGTAGACAAACAGGTGTACAGTATATCCTATTCATGAATTTAAAGTTAAGCTCATGAACGTCAGATGAGGTACATTTGGGAAACAGGTTTTTACTAATATTAAGCCAGTCCTCTTCTGAGATAGGCTGGTCTAGGTCCCCTTCCCAAATTTTAAGTCTGTCGCCTTAATACTGTTTAGCAAGATTTCATAAATTAGTGAAATCGACCCTCTGACCTGATCATGCTTAATCAGTAACACTTCAAGGTTGGTTAATTCCTTTCTGAATTTCCTGTCCTTAACCTCTTATTCTCCAGGGTATATTTTGGTTTGTCCATCTGAATTTCCATGACCAAATCATAAGGCAAATTATTCAATAACTGCATGAAATAAATGTACATTTTTATTTTATTTATTTATTTTTTGTAAAAGCTCCCCCCAAATTAACAGAACATGTTTTATGATCACACATATTACTATATGCTTACAATTCACTGCTGAAAGCCAAAAATCTCAAAGGCTCTTAGTATTTTTTTATAAAAATAATGTTTACAGAGCAGATCACTGAGGAGACGCCATCTGTTTATAGTTTATAGCCCAGATTTGTGGAAAAATGGGTCGACTTTCAGTAGAAAAAAAAATTTAGTTCAGCTTCTTTTATTATAAGTGTTTAAAATTACATCACCCATCTATTTGACTGTAAAGAAGACAGTTACAGCTCTCATACGACCCCCACCTTTAGAATGTAGCTTATGAAATATGAAAGTTATGAAGAATATGACGAAGTGCGTTTTAGAACCACCGGTGGTCTCAAGGAGTTGAAGAGGTTAATGGTTGAAGTGATCAGATGTCGAACCTGAAGATATTTGAAAAATCTTCATGGATGTAGTTTAAACGTTTCTCTATTTGAGGAAAAGACCTGCGTTCTGTGCTCTTTTAATGATTTAGTGGTGTGTTTACCTGTATCTCCAGCGTGTACTCCCGCGTAGCGTCCGGCCCAAACACCCTGTTGGAGCGCAGCTCGCCGTTCTGGTCCAGACTAAATGCGCTGTCCTCGTTTCCAGACACGATGCGAAACTCAAAAGGACCTCCATTTCGCGGGGAGTCGTTATCGGACACAGACAGCGTCAGGATGGTGGTCCCTGCGGGCTTGTTCAGCTGAAAAATCAACATTTAATACCGACAAATAATTAATTAAGTTCGTGACATGAAGCTGTTAAGCAGATTCTAATGCAAAGTAACAATTCTGGAAAAGAACAGTTACAGAGTCTTATTTGAACGTTCTGATGTCTGAAGTTGGTTCTTTAGTTTTGTGCTGGAACCAGAATGTAGCTAATAAACGGCAGCTTATATCTCAGCAACTACCATCAGGCAAACCGCATGCCTAAATCGTCACATACCGAGTTGAGCTGTTCAGTGATTTCAAATAGATGTTCAAATGCATTTGTCTATTTTTGTAGATAAAAGCGTGTCATACTGTGTCAGGAAGAACACAAGCAAGTCATCTGAGATTACTTAATAACATTAATTAGTCAAAAATTAGTCATATTTTCGAACAGTCAATAAAGAACTGATGTACACCAATCAAGCATAACATTATGACCGCCTCCTTGTTTCTACGCTCATTGTCCATCTTATCAGCTCCACTTACTATATAGGTGCACTTTGTAGTTCTACAGTTACAGACTGTAGTCCATCTGTTTCTCTGATACTTTGTTAGCCCCCTTTTACCCTGTTCTTCAGTGGTCAGGACCCCCTTGGACCCTCACAGAGCAGGTACTATTTGGGTGGTGGATCATTCTCAGCACTGCAGTAACACTGACGTGGTGGTGGTGTGTTAGTGTGTGTTGTGCTGGACTGAGTGGATCAGCCACAGCAGTGCTGCTGGAGTTTTTAAACACCTCAGTGTCACTGCTGGACTGAGAATAGTCCACCAACCAAAAATACCCAGCCAACAGTGTCCTGTGGGCAGCGTCCTGTGACCAATGATGAAGGACTAGAGGATGACCAACACAAACTGTGCAGCATCAAAGTCTCTGACTTTACATCTACAAGGTGGACTGACAAGGTAGGGGTGTCTAATAGAGTGGACAGTGAGAGGACAGTGTTTAAAAACTCCAGCAGCACTGCTGTGTCTGATCCACTCAGACCAGCACAACACACACTAACACACCACCACCACATCAGTGTTACTGCAGTGCTGAGAATGATCCACCACCCAAATAGTACCTGCTCTGTGAGGGTCCACGGGGGTCCTGACCACTGAAGAACAGGGTAAAAGGGGGCTAACAAAGTATGCAGAGAAACAGATGGACTACAGTCTGTAACTGTAGAACTACAAAGTGCACCTATACAGTAAGTGGAGCTGATAAAATGGACAATGAGCGTAGAAACAAGGAGGTGGTTATAATGTTATGCCTGATCGGTGTATTTATTACAGAAGCATGTTGATTTTAATGCCGTGCTGCCCAAGGGATCAAAGGTTACAGACATTCAATTTTAGTTTTCAGACTTGCCCTATATGCACAGAGATTTCTCCAAATTCCCTGAATCTTTTGGTGTTATTACACACTATAAACGGTGAAATAAACAGCCTATAAAGGGCCTATAAAGGTCTAGGCCTTTAAGATTTTTAGATCTTTAGGATGTTTTCATTTAAATAAATAAAGGCCAAAAATACATTTACAAATCATTGCTTTCAGTTTTTATTTGCATCTTGCCTACTGTCTCACCTTTTTTTCGGAATTGCGTTTGTATTCCTTTAAGCTAAGTGACACGTACCTGAATCACCGCTGAGGCGTTGGCTGGGGAGAACACTGGTGCATTGTCATTCACATCAGCAATCTCAATGTTTACAGTTACTGTCGTGGACATTGCAGGTGATCCACTGTCAAATGCCTGGACTGACAACGAGTAGCTGGAGACCTTAGGTGAGCGAGACAGAAAGACAGAAGACAAACACACATCGAGGACAGAGTGTGATTATCAAAGGAGTCGAACTGTGTGTGGATAGTTTTTTAACTGTCCCCTCTTTCAACATCAACCATCCCACATAGCAATTCTAGTCCACCTGCAGAAGCACCGGCGCGTTAATTCAAGCTTTTATGGTTGGTTTGCAAATAATTGAGCGAATATACAGAATGGGGCAGGACACAATTAAGACTCTAAGCACCAAAGCCAAAGTAATTTAGTGTCAAGTGTGGTTAGTCAAAGTCAGGAGGCTTATTTAATCTCCAGAGTTGTTCAAAGCACTAACCGTCTCTCGGTCGAGTGCTTTGTTGACCTTCAGAAGTCCAGTGACGGGATCAATCCAGAACTGGTTTCCACGGTCCCCTCTCAGGATGGAGTAACTGATGCGTCCATTAACTTGGCTGTCAAGGTCTTCTGCTAACAGCTTCACATCACAAACGCACACAAAGCAGTTGCTCTACAGGAATACTCCAGCATTGTTCAACCTATTCCCCATCAGCCAGAGTCTGAGGCATACAGTCAGTTACCATCGACAATAGTTTCAACATTTAAAAGAACAGAAAATATGTTGACTTGAAAAACACTTATTATGGAAGTCAATAGGCAGTTTCTTCAGCTTCAGTTGCTACAGCATTTGCCCATTGGCTTCTATTATGTGTTTATTTCCAGTCAATGATTTTTATGTTGTTTTCTCAATACAGAGAATCTTTCAAAACCATTGTCCATGGTAACCGACCGTATGCCACAGACGCAGCAGACAGAGATCACGTTGAAAAGCACTGGAGTATTCATTTAAGAAAAACAATCAGCTGGCTTGGATACTGCATAGGCACATAACGCAAATAACTTTATACCATCAGTTTGTTCATTAAAGATGGACGAGAGTACTGAAGGTCAATAAGTAGCGGCTGTAAAAATAAAGTGATGCCTCTGGCTCATTAAGTGCTAATGAAGCTATAAAGCCATAAAATGAGAGAACCTTACCCTGGTGACTGCTTCTCCGATGGCAGCGTCCTCACTGATCAGGACGTTGTAAATGTCCTCGCTGAAGGATGGTGCGTTATCGTTGATGTCCATAACTTCGATAGTTACGATGGTGGAGGTTTTAAGAGGCGGTGTTCCACCATCCACGGCCTCAACTTTGAGGAAGAAGTCTTTGCACACCTCATAGTCCAAATCGTCAGCCACAGCGATGGTGCCTGGGGTTACAAGAAAGGAGAATTTGCATTAGCGTTCACCACAGGACAGACAGACCTGCTTTCGGGCAGTTTCAGTGACCACACCTCTGCAAACACAGGTGTTAACTATTGGCGCAAACTTATTTTAGTTAATAAGTTTATATTTCCCACTTAACCCCAAGACAGGTTTGGTGCTTGAAGTTTTCTTCGGGAGCTAATATAGAAGCTAAGCTTATGACCATCAAATAGCATCATGTAAACTGCACGCCGAAATCATCCCATGTAGAGCCCAATATTGTAATAATTCTTCAATAACATAATAACACCCAGAAAGGTAATACATTTTTGTACTCAAATATGTAATAAAATCCAATAATGTAAAAACTTGCTCAATGATGTAATATAATGTCTTAACTGATAATGTATGAATACTTTTATGGATAATGTAATAACTTATTTAATGACAGGAAATGTATTACATTTTCAGGTTTACAGAATGTGAAACCTTATTTTATTATTTAGAATTAACTGTAGTTACAAATTGATATTTTTTTCTATTCTTAGATGTGAAGCACCTCATGGCTTGGATCTCACTCACTCACTCACTGACTCATGTTTAACACGATCATCCACAAGGGGGAGCTACCGCACTCTAGTAACTAGAGTGAAAACAACCTTGGCTGAGTCTACTGAGTATTAGACATGCAAGACGTGTGTGCTTTCTAGAACCTTTGGGGTGCTACATGCTGGCGCTTCATTTCACTGATGCTTTGTGCTCTTGTTTTCTAATCGGGTGATGCTTTTAAGGGCCCAGTTTCCCAAAAGCATCTTAGTATTAAGACTGTATTAACCTGTATCATGATCAATGTTATGCTTGCTCTACCATTTAAGAATCATCTATGTGCTATGATGCTTTCAGGAAACCCAGCTAAGAGCAGTTAACAAGGGGCTCCTACAACGCTTTTTTGGTGTACACAGAATCAGCCCAGTGTGGAAGAAGGGGGGCATCAATAAGACAATGAGTGCATTTACAAGCACTCAATAATCCGATAACTGCAGAAAATCAGATTTTGTCGGTAATCCGATCAACATGTTTACATGCACTTGAGTAATCAGACAATGTGGAAACTCTGGGTCTACATGAGTCAGACAGTAATCGGATTTCTGCTTTGCAACCAGCTGACAGACTCACAGAAAAGACGTGGTGTAAACATAATGTAAAACTCAAACTCAAGCTTTTTTTTTACACATCGCGCCACTTTACCTGAAAATATGAACTTACATCATCTAAAAGATGAAGAATATTGAAATCATGATTTCGTGTTTGGTTTCAGTGTCACTCCAAAAGCGTTTTGCTGCGTCTCGCGACATCCACCGTCTGATCTCGCGCATGCGCAGACTGAGAAATCCGAAAGAAATCAGAGTAAGAGTTTACATGCACTGAGAAATCTGATTACTGAGCTAAAATCCAGCTCTCTTTATCAGATTCCTCAATCAGATTTATAGATCGGGGTATGGTGTTTACATGACCATTTGAATAATCGGATAACTACAGAAATCTGATTATGATCTGATTATTGAGTGCATATATACACACTCTTCTTTCAGGAGGAGCTCCCACTTTTAAGACTTCTTGTAAGACTGGCTCTGGTTTCTGCCCATAATATTTTTTTGAATATTGTATCAGATGAAAGAAACATTTTAGTGTTGAACTTTTTCAGTATTCATGAAGAAAAGAGAGCTAACCATGGGATCTTTTGAAGGTGAAAGAATAACCGGTAACACTTTCTATGAATGTCACCTTTGTAAGCATCTATAAACACATTTATAACATGTTATAATGTATTCATAAGGCATTATAAACATGGTTATACATTTTTATAAAAAAGAATGACAATGAATTACACTTTATAGCCATGTTTATTATACATTATGAATTGTTAATATAATGCATTATCAATAGTGTTAATAAAATGTTATAATGTCAGTGCCAAAGAAGTCAGTCCCAGCTTGGAGAGCGTAAAGTAAAGACAAACACCAAGCTAACGGTGGTGTACATTACCTTTCCCACATTGGGTAAAACACTGATGGCAGCTCTAGTTTAAACTCTGACATTTGAAGCCTGTAATGTGCTTTACTGTGTATGTTTTAGTGTTTCAGTAAATCCTTCAGTAAATACTTCAACTTGAAGCCTCACTCTTAACACTGGAGGAGGCTTTAGTACAGTACGCTTCACTTTACTTAGAGCGGACAAATACAACTTATGAGCTCTTATAATTTGTTATGATCAGTACTTATAATGTATTATGTTAACAATTCATAATGCATAATAAACATGGCTATAACGTATAGTGCATTTTTATAAATATTTATAGCTATGTTTATAATGTCTTATGCATGCATTATAACATGTTATGAATGTGTTTATAGATGCTTACAAAGGTGACATTCATAAAAATTGTGTTGTGTCTTGTTGGATATTTTGCAAAGAGGCACACTTTTCATCTGGTCAGGAAAACTTGTATGGAATGTTTGTAGTGTTTCTGTAGTTACAGGTATAAATTCTGGTGAAAATATCTATTTTATTATACGCTTTTCTAAAATGAAAATAAATAAAAAAGCATGTGAAAACAACACTAATGCTAGAGACAAGCAAAAGTCCAAAGACTGAATGGTGGAAGACTGAAACACACCACTGTTTGGCACAGACTCCTCCCACTGCACATATCTGTCTGAGCATTAATTGAGTCTTCCGATAAGACTGACGTCTGAATACTGATCTTCAATTGGAATATTATCTCCTCTACATGCGCTAAACTCAACTCTGAAAACAGCCCAGAATGTAGAATATGGAATAAAAACATACTGTTGCATTATCAAAGTTTTAAATCATCAATTTGAAAAATATGCTCACCTCGTAAATATAACTAATTCCCAATAATGAAATAAGGTATTACATTATCAATAAAACTATACCATCAATGGGTTTTATTAAAATGTTGATCAAGTTAAGTACAAAAATGTATTTCTGGGCCTTTTTACATAATTGGGAAATTATTAGTAGTAGAAGCCTGAATTTTGTCTAGACAGCAATGTGTCATACAGTGTCAGAAACAACATATTACTCAAAGGCATTCCAGCTTAAATCTATCTTTTCATATCTTTTAATGTTATTTGTCGTGTTTTGCAGTTTTCTGTAGCACAGTTTTTTATTTCATATCATTTCCATGTTTTCATTTCTAATTGTTGTCTCACTACAGTACCCGTACATCACGCAGTACATCCACTGGGAATCCCTGTGCTGTCCCCGAGTCGTGACTGCTAGCTTAGTCACTGATGTAAAGGCTAATAAACACAACCCAGCCAGCATTAGTGTAACTGTAATCTCAGGCCTCAAACAAAATCATAAAGAAAACAGCAGCATAATTCTTCATAATTATTATTAATAATTAAAAATAATTATTCAGCACAAAATGGACATCAGAGGCAAAGTTTTACTCTTTCAGTCAGAGAACCAGAGGAAACTGAGGGAAACTGAGGTAAACTGAGGTAAGGCATCCTAACAGCTATGATAGCTACCTCACTAACTTTCAGCTTATTGTTCGCCACAGTTGACTAGTCATTTCTGGTGTTTGAGTAATCCTGCACCGTGTCCTGCCGCAAGACACTCCAGCACATCGTGACAGCAGCTGAGAAGATCGTTGGCACCTCCCTCCCCTCCCTCCAAGAGATATACAGCTCACGTCTCACCTGAAAAGCCCTCAGCATGGCAGGTGATCCCGCTCACCCACTACACACCTTCTTCAGCCTGCTGCCATCAGGGAGGAGACTGCGGAGTCTCCGGGCCAGGACCAGCAGACTGGGGGACAGCTTCATCCACCAGGCTGTCAGGACGCTGAACTCTCTCCCTACTTTGCCCCCCCCTCTCCCCTTCTGCCCCCCCCACACACAGAGTTTTGGACCCATACACGGGTTCCTGATCCCCACTCCCCCAATACTGAACTCTGACCTTCTCAGGGACTGTTACGCACTCATCACTTTAACTGCTCCATAAGCTCATTCCAATAGCACTACTGTTTATATTTGCACTATTTATACCCACAGATCTTAATCTGTTGTGCCTCATGTCACTTCGTGTTAATTTTCAAGATCCATATTTATATATATACATATATATTTATTATTCAAATTTTATTTTATTTTATATATATATATATATATTTTTTTTTTTGTGCTTATTTTTACGATTAGTGTTTAGTGTTTATTTAGTGTCTATTTAAATTCACACTTTTCCTGTTTACTTTCTATTTAATGTTATTGCTACACCATGGGGTCTGAGAGTAACGCAATTTCAATACTCTGTATGTCCTGTACATATTGTAGTATTGACAATAAAGCTGACTTGACTTGACTTCTCTCTATTGCAGGGTTTCTCAACCTGTGGGCCGCGGAGCCCCTTCTAGTGGTCCGTGGGCCTGTACTCAGGGGCAGACAGTCGTTCGTCGTGGGCTGGTAGAGATGTATAAATAAAATATTGCAGTCTCAGGCTAATTAAACATCATCAGTTTGAAACAAGGCAGCCGCAGGTGCGCAGTACAGAGTTAACCAGAGATGGAGAGGCTTCTCAGGGTGTTTCTCCTACCTTGTTTGTTGCGGATCTATCAAACTTTTTTCTTTAGTTCGCTCCGTTTTGATGTGGGTAAACACTCCACCCGTATTCAGGTCTACATCAGAGGCCGGTTCTGCAAAACCTGTGGGTCTCGGTCCGCTTCCAACCGAACCCTGTTGAGTTCACTGCTGCTGGGACACATTTTATGATCAAACGAGGGAATTTGTCAACAGAGCCTGCTTTCCTCTTTTTCTATCAGCAGGTCAGCTGTACTGTCAGCGTAATCTGCCTGTTTGAACCTCTGACTCTTTACAGACTCTCATTGCTCTGCTATCGTTCCATATCGTTCTCATTGCTCTCATATCGTTCGGTATCGTTCTCATTGCTCTCATATCGTTCGGTATCGTTCTCATTGTTCTCATATCGTTCTGTATCGTTCTCATTGTTCTCATATCGTTCTGTATCGTTCTCATTGTTCTCATATCGTTCCGTATCGTTCTCATTGCTCTCATATCGTTCCGTATCGTTCTCATTGTTCTCATATCGTTCCGTATCGTTCTCATTGTTCTCATATCGTTCCGTATCGTTCTCATTGTTCTCATATCGTTCCGTATCGTTCTCATTGCTCTCATATCGTTCTGTATCGTTCTCATTGTTCTCATATCGTTCTGTATCGTTCTCATTGTTCTCATATCGTTCTCATTGTTCTCATATCGTTCCGTATCGTTCTCATTGTTCTCATATCGTTCTGTATCGTTCTCATTGCTCTCATATCGTTCCGTATCGTTCTCATTGTTCTCATATCGTTCTGTATCGTTCTCATTGTTCTCATATCGTTCCGTATCGTTCTCATTGCTCTCATATCGCTTAAACCCTCAAAACTAAAGAGACTCCAGACCAAACAGTTACTCCTGTGGGAAAGACACAAGAGTGTTTGCAGTGAAAACGCGATGAACTGCAGCTCCAAATCACAGCCCACATCTACATCTTCCCTTTTTTCTTTATTTTTCTTCTTTTTTGACGTTTGCAAACATGTTTTTTTAACATAACTACAAATTTTGGTTTCTGTAATTGAAGTAAAATCGACGTTCTGATCTTTTCAGGCGCCAATTCACAGGTTTTCAGTGTGAGTAATTGAGAAAAAGAAGCAATTTAAGTAGATTTTAGTTTTTTGTGGGCCACTATGCTTTACAGTTGGGCCTTGGAGTGGAAAGGTTGAGAACCCCTCATCTACTGTAATGATGAATGATGGTCATGCAGCTTCCATAAGATATTCAGTTTCCTAGCAGTAACGTTAGCCATCTGTCTTCCTAATGCATGCAACAAAAAAAAAAAAAAACCTTTTAAAACAGCCATCCCCCAAAAATCCACCCCTAAGCAGTTGCAGTTCCCATCACCTTCAAGATTCATCATGAGAAGCAGGTTCTCCTAACATTTAAACCAGAAAATCTCACTCTACAGACAACCACAACACTGCTGTAGGAGGCGAGAAGGAATGTTTACAATGGATGTAGTGATGGGTACATTTTTTATTTTGGCTGGAGTGTCCCTTTAACACCTCAATGTTGTTTGAAGCAAGTGTTTGATGATTTAAGCATGCAGTTCACACAGTGCTAATTAATGAGGCATCAGCTTCCAGTAGTTCTTAGCTTTGTGCAAAGCTAAAGTAGCAAACTCGAACGCTGTGCGTCTCTCGCACTAATCTATACCTGTCAGTGTTTCCCACCCAGATTCGCACGCTGGAAATCAGGGTGGAAACTAAACTGTGCATTCAAAGGGGGGGTGGGGGGGCGGGGTCCAGTATATACGACTATATATAACACTGCTTAAGCTTATGGGCTATGCATAATTTAATTACTTCATCCGCTGCACTCAGATGTTCCACAATCCTCAAATTATAATCCACTGTTAACATTCCTCTGACACTTCTGTCCCGTCATTCAGTTAATGTGGAAGGATTCTGCCATTATAGTGGGAAAGATTTACTTACTGGGTCCTGGGAAAGGGATCCTATGAGGAGTGAGTTCTTTCTCCTGTTCACAGATCAGCACCACACTCTCAAAAGTGATGTCACACATCACTTATTTCGTGTTATTACTATTTTAACACATTTTGTATTAGGCTTCGCAACACGTCTCCGACACAGACTGTGTAATTAGAACATCTTTCTGTTTCTGAATTCTGACCAGGCTGGTTGTGTTAACCCTTAGAAGTCGAACACTGTAGCTGCACTTCAGAAAGCACAAGCATGTAGTGCTACTTATGGTGAAATAATCATGCAAATATCAAATATGCTATACTGAGTGGGGTTTAAAAGCTTGAGAGAATGTCCATAGCAATCTAAACAGGCCTTTACTGCAACATGGCTACAGACACAAGACTTCTCAACCCAAAACATGTTTTCTCAAGCTATACTGAAGGTATACTAGTCAAATGGAATTACATTATTACTTCCTCTGAGTTATTAAATGCATTGCATTTACATTTGATTTGCATTCTGTGTTGCATGCTGCGATTCACACTTTTTCCACTGGTTTAATGTCAAAAAATGACAAAAAATATGTCAAAAGTGTTAAGAATCATTTTCTTCCCCAAAGAACATTGTACGCAGAGCTGTACATGTGCCGGGATTCTGTAATTCGGGGGTATATTCAGTATAAAGGTAACACTATTTTTTAGAGATACAGATAAACACCCACTACACTGTCAAGAATACGGTTCCACTTCTGAGCAGAGCTTGTAAATAATCACAACAGCCGAGCATGGAAGAGTTAGAAGCAGTCAGAGCAGTTTTTATCCCTCAAAACGGTAAAAATCTTAAATCCCACCCAGCATGGAGAAGGAAGAAAAAGCTCAATCTTATAAATACCTGTAGCTTTGAAGTCACAAATTTAACGTATATAAAGTAAAAGTCATGAAAGCAGCTCAGCAGACTGCTAATGGGTTAACAAGCGAATCCAGTAACATTCGGTTAGGTTTTAGTTAAAATAGTTACTATTAGTTACAGCTGTTTCACTGTAAAACTGCAACATGCAAGTTTTGTTTGTCTAAAGTCGACTTGAGTATTGAACTCAGTGTGTAAAAACGCCACCACTGTTAGCTTGATGCTAATATATAATGAAAAAACCTGATAACATTTTTTCATAATGGCTGTTTTTTGACCAACAGAGGATACTAATAAAGCAATGATCTCCACATTAAGCACTGTTATATAATGACTAATATGGCATGCTCATGATAATTATATGGTACAGAGCAGTATATGCCATTTTTGTTGGTACGGTGCAGGTACCAGTAGTACGTTCCATGCTGTATTTTATGTTGGAGCAGCTTCACAGTCTCCACTGCAAATAGTCCTGTATGATAGTGATACACAGCATCAGTAAGTGGACAGTTTTTCATTTTTATTTTAATACTTAAAAAAATGGCATTCAGAATGTATTGATTTTGTATCTTGATTTTTAAGCATTTTTTTTAAACAAAAGTTTTTTTTAATGCAATATTGTGATAAAGTTATAAACTGTGATAAAAGATTTGGTCATTATAGTGATTAAAAAATGTACGCAATCAAATTATAATAAATAGGGATGTATAATGATGTGCTAAACACAATGATGTTGGCAGATAATTACTTTAAAAAATGATCCGCATCGGCAGATGATTAGATTTGGCCAACATTTCAAACAGGCACATTTAGTCCTTATATATGTATCTGCATTGGCATTGACAGATATGTGATGAAAAATATTAAGTATTGGCCCACCACTGCCATATCAGTGCATCTCTATTAATAAAATATCTCCTTTTTTGAAAGTTTAGAATCTGCACTTTCAAAAGAATTTCTATGATTTTGCTTTAATGATCAATGATCAGGAAATAATAGTGTTTTATCATCTGCAATAACTTCTATAAGAGTTCAATTAGATAATACACTAATTGTGTTAACAGTAACACATTATGTGTTGTCCTTAAGTGGACATACAGATGTGTCTGTGTTAAGAGTGCAGTCACTCCTCTCACCTGTGGCCTCATCGATGATGAACTTGCCCAGTTCGTTGCCTGTAGTGATACTATAGTAGATCTCAGCATTGACGCCGATGTCTTCACTGGTGGCAAAAACCCTCAGCACCTCTGTTCCCACGGCAACATCCTCGGGCACTGTAACTGCATAGTCCTGCTTCTGGAAGACCGGCGGGTTATCGTTCACGTCCAGAACCATGACAGTTAGGTCCACCTGCGTGGAGAGGGAGCCAGGTGCCCCTGCCTGGTCTGCAGCCTGGACCCTCAGACGGTACGAGTCCTGGAGCTCACGATCCAGAGGCTTCTCTAGAATCACCACTCCAGAAAACGGGTCAATGGAGAAGAAGTCATCAGCCGAGTCCACCAAAGAGTACAGGATGCTTCTGTTCAGGCCTGGTCCAGACAGAAGAGACAAACGATGAGAGTGATTTTAATTAAACTGAACATTTCAAACAATTTCCAGTGGCACAGTGTTTCAGCCTGAGGCTAGGCTTAATTAGAGTCATGACACCTGCAGCTCGACAATCTTATTTAGTTAATGCAATTATGATTTCAATATTTTGGCAATGTACCAGACAAATGTTTGGACACGCTTACTCGTGAAAAGTGTTTCTCATTTTCACTGCTTTTCCACATTTTACAATACTGATGAAGGCACCCAAACTACATATATATATATATATATATATATGCATATATATATATATATATATATATATATATATATATATATATATATTATGGTATTAATTTTACAGTAAAATACCTGTTTATTTTACAGGATCACACTGTAAAATCTTGTAGTTTTACTGTGTAAAATACTGTAAAATATTTACAATGAATATACAGTACATTAATGCCCGCTCTCTACTAGTAAATTGCTGTAAATTTTACACCTTTTTATAGTGATATATTGTTCCTGAAAAAGAAAACACTGTAGCATTAAAAAATGTACCTTTTTTTAGAAAACTGTTTGAATGCTAGCTGCTGGTTACATTGTGAAATAAATACTAAAAAGATGTTTTAATATCAATGTTCTGGTTCTAAACCTATGCTTTAGTATTTAAATCCATAACTACACATACAAACTACAGATAAGGTCTTGGAATATTATTTTGTTACTCTAACAGACATTCCTTCTATAAAATAAGTACGATTTTTGTACAACAGTGAAAATGCGGAATTATTCAGGGACCAAAAAGCATGTTATAAAAGTTAAAACTTTCTTCTGTTTAAGATTCTTCAGCAAAGCTACTCATTATTAGATGCAGCCCTCTAAGCCCTGATGCAGCTTTGCACTTTCTTGGTGTCAAGCAGCTTCATGAGGAGCCATCTGGGATGATTTTCCAACAGGGCTGAAGAAGATTCAAATATGCTGAGACCTTGTCGGCTGCTGAGACTATTTGTTTGGGAAGGTTTTGCTTTTAAATAATGTTTCTGGTTTTAAAATAAATACAAACAAAGGCATCACTTTTGTGTATATATATATACATTAAAAGTAAAGTTGTTTTTTTCCTTCGCCTGTAAAGTTCTCATTTTGGAGATACAAGGTTTTCTTCCGACAACAGTGATATATATATATATATATATATAACTTTGCTTTTAATGTATATATATATACATATATGCTTTTATTTATTTATTTATATATATTTTATCTTATCTTATTATGTAATGCTATATAAAGATCAACTTGTCCCAGAATGATGGGATGGGAAGAGAATGGAGAAGGGAAAGTTGTGCTCATGACCCAAAATATACCACCTCAGCTGTTCAGCACAGTGGAACTCACATATTTAATTTCAATTCCAAGATGCTGTGCTAGACAGCTAGAATAACAGTAACTTTGTCAATGTCCAAATATGTATGGGCCTGCCTGTATCTCCACTGACTCAGCAGTTAACTGAACACTGAATATGGCACTATTAAGCTTGTAAAGGGGTACATACCCTCGTCAGGATCACTGGCCTGCAATCGAGTTAGCAGGGTTTTGGGTGCAGCGCTCTCAAACACGCTGGCTAGAAACTCAGTGAAAAAGAAGGATGGAGCGTTATCGTTCACATCCAGAACAGCGAGGGATATCTCAGAGCGACAGAACAGACCGCCTCCATCCGTAGCCTGGGCTATTAGTTTATAGCCTGGCGTTTTCTCTCGGTCCATTACAGAGGCTGTCTTCAGCTCGCCTGAAAGAGAAAAGAGAAATGAATATCAAAATAAAAAATAATAAACAAACAGAATAGTGAATTCCTTGTAGGATGTCATCAGATGACCAGATCACTGCCATGTGATAAATAATACTCCCATCTCAGAGATATATAGTAGTCTATTTTCAAAACCTTCGCTAAAGAAAATGATGCAGTGAATTTATATTTAACACAGATGTTGCCAAAAGTGCACAACCATTCAAAAGTTTGGGATCAGTTTCTGTTTCCATAAAATAAAACTAATTTTTGTATATATATATATATATATATATATATATATATATATATATATATATATATATATATATATAATGATTGCCATATCATACCACTACTCTTCATAGGTTTTTAACTAATTTGAAGAAACCTGTAAAAATCATTTTACATGCGTCCAGATAGATAACTTACCAAAGAATCACTGTAAATAGATAACAGATATTTATCATTTAAAAATTTGAAGTATCAAATATAAACATTTTAAAATACCTTTTGGTGTCCAGCTTACAGTATTTTATACAACACTGCTTTTATTATCGAATAAAATAAGAACATTTATCATTATGATAAGCTTTTGAACTGTACACTGTTAGAAATAAAGGTTCTGTGCCGGTACTTTTTTCATTCATTAAGGTACAAACAGTGTAAATGTTCCCCCAAAGGTACAGCAGAGGTTTTAAGGTCCAACTCTGAACATTAAATACGTTTTTCCAGGTGAAAAGTTCATATTTGTACCTTTTCATAACTGAATGTTTTAAAACAGAACAGTAAAATAAAAGTCTGGAGACGAGACGGGGTGTGTGGAGTCAGTACAGCTTAGAACATATCATTTCAGTGGATTATGGTTCAGTTATGTTCCCTGACTAAAGGTACTGAGATGGACCCTTGAGGGTCCCACCCCAGTGACAAGAGGGGTTCTGCACCAGTGATAGATTACTACCTTTATTTCTGAGAGTGTACTGTAAAGGTCGTTGCCCAGTGCAGCATCGCGTAGCGTCAGCAGAGCACTGCTATTGAATGCCAGCAGGGAGAACCCAAAAAACAGGCTCAAGTTCATTTTTTATACTCTATTCATATGAATTTAATTAAAAAAAAAAATTCGGCATCACTTATCATGCTTGGCACCCATTTACTACCTCTACACAAACTGGCTGTTGTTGAGCTGTAAAAGGCTAGGCTGGTAAAGTTAGCTGAGGTAACTGACCATCAGCATCTGTCTGTTTATCTAAAAGACTGCCTGCCTTCCTCTGTGTAAAATTCAGGTCACATGTGATCTACTCTGGGTTTCCGTGGTCTCAATATGGCTTTAATTTAATGTAGTAGTGACAGAACGTTGCATGTCACGCTGTAAGGCGCTGAGGAACTGAACAGTGCTTTGACTCATGGAGTTTCAAATTTTTGGATGCTGTGCAGCGTGACACTGTGCGTCCAGTGTATGACGGTTTAGCCAACTGAAAGGCAAAATTGTGTTAGTGGTAGATTTTATTCATGGACAAATGATGCGCACCTTTGAAGAATTCAATGCATCACTGTTTTCAGGAAAGATCAAACAATGCTGAGACTCTCATGTACATAGTGTAAAACGTCTATAGCACTGGGTAATGGATGTTGTCTTATACCAGTATTTGCATCCATGTAGAAGTCTTCAACTCCTATACCGAATAGGGAATACTGAATCTCCGCGTTGGAGCCTAAGTCAAAGTCTACAGCCCCAACAGTCAGGATGCCACTGTTGATGAGGATATCCTCGGGAAACGAGGCTTCATATAAGGCCTGGTGAAATGAAGCACAACATATAACAAACGTAATATTGTATAACAATGCAGAACAAATTAAAATGAGAAGGTGGAGATTGACAGAGTTTGATTTTCTCCTGTCTCTCAAAGCACTGCTACTGCACTACTGCACTAGGAGCCCCATTTTCTCTATACACCGATCAGGCGTAACATTATGACCACCTCCTTGTTTCTACGCTCATTGTCCATTTTATCAGCTCCACTTACTATATAGGTGCACTTTGTAGTTCTACAGTTACTTTGTTAGCCCCCTTTTACCCTGTTCTTCAGTGGTCAGGACCCCCATGGACCCTCACAGAGCAGGTACTATTTGGGTGGTGGATCATTCTCAGCACTGCAGTCACACTGACGTGGTGGTGGTGTGTTAGTGTGTTGCACTGGTATGAGTGGATCAGACACAGCAGTGCTGCTGGAGTTTTTAAACACCTCAGTGTCACTGCTGGACTGAGAATAGTCCACCAACCAAAAATATCCAGCCAACAGCGTCCTGTGGGCAGCGTCCTGTGACCACTGATGAAGGACTAGAGGATGACCAACACAAACTGTGCAGCAGCAGATGAGCTATCGTCTCTGACTTTACATCGACAGGGTGGACTGACAAGGTTGGAGTGTCTAATAGAGTGGACAGTGAGTGGACACAGTGTTTAAAACTCCAGCAGCACTGCTGTGTCTGATCCACTCAGACCAGCACAACACACACTAACACACCACCACCACGTCAGTGTTACTGCAGTGCTGAGAATGATCCACCACCCAAATAGTACCTGCTCTCGGAGCGTCCATGGGGGTCCTGACCACTGAAGAACAGGGTAAAAGGGGGCTAACAAAGTAACTGTAGAACTACAAAGTGCACCTATATAGTAAGTGGAGCTGATAAAATGGACAATGAGCGTAGAAACAAGGAGGTGCTGCTAATGTTGTGCCTGATCAGTGTATATTTTAATAATGTTTTGAACTCCAGTTTTGTTTTCCACTTGTTTTCCTTTGAATTTAACTTCATGCAGGTTATCTCATATCTAATCTCCTCAGAACTACCTCAGAAAAACCTGTACTTAATAGCTGTTTTGACTGGAAATGAAATGAATGCAGGGTAAAACTGTGACTTCTGCACAGTACTGTATATAAATCATTTCTACAATAAATCTTTAAGTTTAAATCTAGGCATCAGCAGCAAAAGCAGCCATTTCAGCACCCTAAAGTGTACATAAAGCCTATATAAGACTTGAATAACTATTCTGTGTACACTGGACTTTGACAGGTGTTGAGTGAACACAGGTAATTTATCCAGACCTGGTTACATATGGGGCGGTTGTCGTTGGCATCCATGACAGTGACCTCCACGATCACCCGGGAAACAAATAGACCGTCACTGGCAGTGATATTTAGTAGATATCGATCTTGTTCCTCCCTGTCCAGCGGCTGCTTCACAAACACCTTCCATTCTCCCTGCACTGGAGCTAATGCAAACACCCCCTTAGGGTTCCCACCTGGGTCAAAAAAACAAGAAAACATATGTATCCTCAATTTTTCAAATGATGAGAAGAAATATGATGTTCTGCAAAGGTCAGAACAGATTATTATGAAGTCATACAAGTGTTCAGGGTTCGTCTGATTTCTATGATTATTTATTATTTAGACAACACCTCACTCTTGGACAACTCCTCACACCCTCTGCACGCTACACTGGATAAACAGAGAAGCACATTCAGTGCAGACTGTTGTTAAAGAGCCGTGTGAGCTCTTTCTTACCCACTACAACGAGTCTCCTCAATGCAGAGATGGTACTGACCTCCTGCTGTCTGAACTGAGCTGAACCACATCACTATATCACCTCTCCTGTTAATACACACTGTGCAATATATCATAACCTGCTGCTGTAATAACTCTCACTGCGCACTCTACACTGTAATATAGCTGCAACTCCTAGTTATGTCTGTACTCATTGTTTTTTTAGACTCCCTCATACCACTTAGTGTCTGCTATCATGTAAATACAACAAATCTGTCTTATATGCAAATAGATATAGTTTTATTTCTACTCTCTTACACCTTAACTTATGTCTATTTTTATCTCTATTTTTTTATTTTTGGCATAGTATATGTAAGTTTATGTGCAGTTATATGTATTGCTATTGAAACACTGCAATTTAGATAAAGTTCTATCTATCTATGTTATTTGAACCAGTAAAGTACACACTTTTTAAAGAATGTGTATGGTTGCCAAGGATGTATGTGTGAGCTGCGTGAAAGTTTGATGTTTTACATATGTGTATGTATAAATACACACACACACACACACACACACACACACACACACACACACATATATATATATATATATATATATATATATGAGAGAGAGAGAGAGAGAGAGAAAGAGAGATGTTTCAGGTGGTGCACTTGAATTTCATTGTAGGCAAACATGCAACGACAATATCTAATCTAATCTAGTTAAAAAAAGGAAGATTTCACCAGAGCTTTTTTCTTCATTAAGACATACTGAACCAGTCAAATGTTTGTACACACCTGAGTGAATGTATGTTTCTCTATAATCTTATAGACATTCAGCTCTAAAGGATACTTAAGTGCTTCAGATTTATTTCTAAGATAACAGTGACGCACAAACTTACAACACATAAATGTTCAATTCCATCCCAAGACCTGCTAGCCAGTGCTCAGTATTTGGGATCTTCAAAAATACCTTTTGCCAGTTCAGACCATGCCTTCATACCATCAACACATGATCAGAGTATGAGAAGAGACTGTATGGCTGAGAAAACTCTGAGAAACTTAAAGCTACAAGGCTGGACTCCCTTTGATGAACAGAGACAGGACTGAGGAACAGGGAGGACATGGGGTGGTGAAAGCAAAAGGTAGAGATGGAAAATTCTAAGATGTTACACTGGAAGGGGGAGGCACTTCAGGCATGGTTCTCCTCTCAAAGTTCAGTTAGTCCACAACTTCAGACCACTCCGTTGCAGGAGGGGGGGGGGATCTCTGAGATCTCTGAGGGAGAACTTAAAGCTTGGTACAAGAGTAAAAGCCTAAAGGATGAAGGAACTAGATTCAGAATGAAAGATTGATCAGATGGTAGGTTATCTAAATACAAAAGGCAAAGGTGGAAATATACAGGATGTCAGATTAGAAGGAGGAGGAGCTTCAGGCACAAGTACATAAAATATGGCACAATATACATCGATCAGGCATAACATTATGACCACCTCCTTGTTTCTGCGCTCATTGTCCATTTTATCAGCTCCACTTTCTATATAGGTGCACTTTGTAGTTCTACAGTTACAGACTGTAGTCCATCTGTTTCTCTGCATACCTCGTTAGCCCCCTTTTACCCTGTTCTTCAGTGGTCAGGACCCCCATGGACCCTCACAGAGCAGGTACTATTTGGGTGGTGGATCATTCTCAGCACTGCAGCAACACTGACGTGGTGGTGGTGTGTTAGTGTGTGTGTTGTGCTGGTCTGAGTGGATCAGACACAGCAGTGCTGCTGGAGTTTTTAAACACCTCAGTGTCACTGCTGGACTGAGAATAGTCCACCAACCAAAAATATCCAGCCAACAGCGTCCTGTGGCCAATGATGAAGGACTAAAGGATGACCAACACAAACTGTGCAGGAGCAGATGAGCTATCGTCTCTGACTTTACATCTACAAGGTGGACTGAAAAGGAAGGGGTGTCTAATGGAGTGGACAGTGAGTGGACACAGTGTTTAAAAACTCCAGCAACACTGCTGTGTCTGATCCACTCAGACCAGCGCAACACACACTAACACACCACCACCACGTCAGTGTTACTGCAGTGCTGAGAATGATCCACCACCCAAATAGGACCTGCTCTGGGAGCGTCCATGGGGGTCCTGACCACTGAAGAACAGGGTAAAAGGCGGCAAAGATCATAATGATCATAATATAAAGGTCATAATGTTTTGCCTGATCGGTGTATATTTGATTTGTTTAATAAATGTGAAAAAAGAAAATCTTCTGTGTGTCCAAACTTTTGACTGCCACTGTATATTCATCCAAAGTGCATTTCAGTAACCGTCACCTAAGTAAACATGCATTCAGACAGGTACCCATAATGTGTGTGACATCATGGAATACATACCTAAAGTACTCAGTGTAATTAGAAACCTGAGCAATATACTGAGCTTAATTCTGACAATCTGCTTACTCCCCTAAATGGGCTTTAAACAAAGGATGTGACACATAAAACAGATGGCTTTTCACTCGCATTGTTTTTGTTCCCCTAGTTCATTAAATTAAACCCTTTCAATGTGATTATCTTTTCCTGAGAGTCCCCAGCAGCCATAAATCATGGTCTAGTTTAATACACACCTGTAATATGAAAGCTGACGAGCCTATTCTGATCGGAGGTGTCCCAGTCTCGGGTGCTGAGTACAGACACGACTTCTCCGATTGGATCGCTCTCCCTCACGGCACCCCTGTAGTATCCCCTCTCAAAAGTGGGAGGGTTGTCGTTGACATCGGCGATGGCCACAGTAACCACAGCAGTCGAAGAGAGAGAGACTAGCTCTCCCAGATCTGATGCAACCACACTGAAGGTGTAAGATGGACACACCTCATGGTCCAGGTCACCAAGAGTGGTAATCCATCCTGTTTTGCTATCAATTGCAAACATGGAGCCTGTGGCAGAGGTTCTGCCAGAGGTCTGGTCCTTCTCCTGGTTCAGGGTTGGCCCAAGGCTGTAGGTGACCTGTCCATTTGAGCCCCAGTCTGGGTCCAGAGCACGTACCTGGACAACCCTCGTTCCTACCGGCATGCCCTCCATGACCATTGCTACGTAAGAGCTAGTCTCAAAGGATGGCTTGTTGTCATTCACATCTAGCACTTTCACCTCCACATCCACGACAGACATGGATTCAACCAAAGCTTGTCTCATGGTGGCAGACACTTTGAAGCGGTAGATGCTGACTTGCTCATAGTCTAGTGCATTAACAAGCCTGAGAAGACCAGTCTCTCTCTCCACCAGAAACGTTCCGCCCTGGTTGCTCGCCATGGTCTCACCGTTTACTGCAGCAAAAGCTCCTGTCTGACCTGGACCCAGGTACACAGAACCTAAAGCTGTCCCAACAGGTGTATCCTCTGGAACAGTGAAGGAGTACTGGGGCTGAGTGAACGTTGGTATGTTGGCATCTGGTGGCAGGACATGGATGAAGGCGGACACCAACGAGTGTTTAGCAGGTACACCTCCATCTGTGGCTTTAACAAAGAAGGAGAGAACGGTTCCTCTTAAGTGAGCCATGCTTCCTTTTGTGACCATCCAGCCACTATCGGGCTCAATCTCTAACACATCCACTAGAGGAAGTCGGGCCTCACTGTACAGGGAGTAACTCACCCTGCCATTATCTCCTGCATCTGGGTCCTGAGCTTGGATCTGAGTCACCAGCGAGCCCATAGCTATGTTAGCCTTGATGCTAACTCTGTACTCCACAGCCCTGAAACGTGGAGCGTTATCATTCTCGTCTATTAGCATTACTCTAACAGTGCAGAAGGATGCCCTCCCACCTCCATCAAGAGCCATCACCGTCAGTACAATGTCCCTGTTCACAGGATTCTCTCGGTCCAACTTCTGAGCAGTAGTGATCACTCCATCCGCTCCTATGCTAAACTGAGTCTTCCCAAGGTCATTGATGAATGAATACATGATCTGACCAAAAAGCCCAGAGTCCTCATCTGTGGCCCGCACCTGAATGACTTTGGTTCCTGCAGGTGCATTTTCTCGCACCTCAGCCAGGTAAAACCTCTGGCTAAAGACAGGGCTGTAGAGGTTGGCCCCCAGGATCCGTATGTTCACCTGTGCTGTACTAGTGAACACTCCGTCCGATACGGACACATTGAGGATGTAGGCCGGCCTTATGCCTTGCCTGCGTTGGTTGGACAAGGAAATGACTCCTGTCTGAGAGTCAATGACAAAGTTCATCCTGTCATCTCCAGAGAGTATGTTGTACTTTAGTCTGTCAGTATCTGAGCTATCTGCATCAGAAGCTTGGACGCATGTCACAAAGTGTCCCCTGGGAGCCAGTTCACTGATAAAAGCCTCGTAGAGTGGCTGGTTGAAGGCTGGAGGATTGTCATTCGTGTCATTCACCAAAACAGTAACCATGACTTCGCTACTCTGGGCCGGAGAGCCACTGTCTGTTGCCCGGACGATGAAGTTGTAGCTCTGGATAAGTTCGTAGTCTAGAAGACGGGCTGTCAGGACTACACCGCTGCTGCTGTCAATATGGAAGTAGTCTGTGCTGTTAAAAGCATCTGAAAGAATCTGATAGCGAATAGCACCATTTTTTTCAGAGTCCTTGTCTGTTGCCAAGAGCTGTACAACTGCTGTCCCAATCATCGAGTTCTCAGCCAGCATGGACGAATATGAGGCTTTCTCGAACACAGGTGCATTGTCATTAATGTCTACAACAACAATGTCAACATCTACTTCTGATCTAGCTCCAGTGAGCGTGTCTGTGGATCTGACTGTCAGCCTGTAGTAGGAGGTAGTCTCATAGTCTAAAGGGTAAATGACGCTAATCACACCGCTGTCAAAACCAATGTCAAAATTAAGAGAGGAATCCCCATCCACAATGGTGTAGATGATATTCTGTCCTTCAGGACTTGTAGCATTAATGCTTAAAATAGGGGTGGACACAGCTATGTCCTCTCTAACAGAAATGCCATAAAAGGGCTTGTCGAAAACAGGCATGGCTTTGTTAACTACTGTGACTGGGAGCTCCACTGCAGTGAAAAGGGAGGGGTAGCCTGCATCGCGTGCGAGAATGACCACCGGGTACTCAACATTGGACAGGTCTGCTACAAAAGCTCTTTTTAGGGTGAGTTCACCAGTGACACGATTTATCTCAAAATGTCTGTGCTCCTCTTTGAGCTCATAGGAAACCTTCCCATTTATCCCTCTGTCCAGGTCCGTGGCCGACACCTGGAATATGGATGAGCCCGGATGGGCATCCACCTGCACCGCAGCATAGTATGGAAGGCCGACAAACTCAGGAGCGTTATCGTTGACGTCCTCCACCTGCACTCGTACGGTCACTCTAGCCACCCTCAGTCGGTCATACTCCCGGGACACCTCCACGACCAGCTCATAAAACTCCTGTTCCTCACGATCAAATGGGACTCCTGTGGTCTTTATGACCCCAGATGTAGGTCGGATAGTAAAGCGAGTCCCTGCGTTTAGCAGCGTATACTTAAGTGGCTCATTTAGACGGTTCCCAATAGCGTTGACCACCGTCACTGTGGATATGTTTGAAGTGTTCTCCAGCACTGAAGAGGAGTATGAGGGCTGACTGAAAAGAAGACCACTGTCCATAGCTTCCCGGACTAGCACTGTCACAAGAGCTGTGCTGGAGTAACGTCCATCTGACACCTTTACGTTAAAGCGGTAGCGGTCTTGGGACAGTTTGTTGTTTTTGACTGTGAGGATGCCAGAAGTGGGCTCAATGGCAAAGAGCTCCAAGTTGTTGTCAGCCAAAGAATAAGTCAGAACACTACTCAAGGTCATGTCAGGGTCTGATGCTTCCACTCTCAAAGCCTCTACACCGACATAAGTAGGAAGCATTAAGACAGCATCATAGGCATCCTGTGAGAACTTAGGAGGAGAGTCGTTGATGTTCACTACCTTGACTACAACTTCAGCTGGACTTGCTGCAGTCAACTGTGGCGTACCGCTGTCCCTCACATTGACACGGAAGTAAAACCCACTAAAGGTCTCATAGTCCAAGGTGGCAATGGTCCTGACTGATCCAGTACCTGAGTCCACAGTGAAGAACAACTTAGCCATATCTTCCACAATCTCGAAAACCAATAAGGCATTTTGGTTCCTATCAGCATCAATGGCTTGGATCACCAGGGGACTTCCGTCTTCACCTAAAACCACGGTGTTGACGGGGGCTGCCTCACTAATGCTCCCAGAGTAGCGCAGCTGTTTAAAACCTGGCGGATTATCATTCTCATCTACCACCTGGATGTTGACTGTGGCACTGGAAACAATCCCTGCCATGTTGACTGCCTGGATGACCAGCACGTAGGATGCGGTGGCCTCAAAATCTAAAGACTTCTGAGTCGTGATTACGCCTGTAAAGCAGTTTATTCTAAATTTTCTCTCAATATTCCCTTGTGAGATTTCATAAATGAGTGCTGAACGGCTTACGGCACTGATATTGGTGACAAACGTTCCTATAGGCACGTTCTCAGTGATCTCAGCCTGGTACTCCATCTGGGTGAACTTAGGGCTGGAGAAGTCTGAGAGTGAGACGGTGATCCTGGCAGTAGCTGTGGCACTTAGCGCTGGAGTGCCCCCATCTGTGGCACGCACGGTGAGGATGTAATACCCAACAGATGTGAGGTCTAGCTCTCTGACCACTGAAATGATGCCAGACAGCGAATCAATTCCAAATGCCCCTCCAGTGTTGCCTGAAAGAGAACAGAGTACCACATAGTAGACAGTAAAGGAGAAATAGGTAATTTACAGAAGTGGACACATAAGCTGTACATAATAATAAATTAATAATAATGACAAAAAACATTTCATGAAATATAATGAGGGGGTGAGAAAAATGGGTTGCAATTTTTGAAACCCACCTGCTTCAATTGTGTATATCAGCTCCCCATTCCTGCCTGTGTCTCTATCCAAGGCTGTGACCTGTACAACAGGTGTTCCAGGAAGAGCTGATTCAGGCACCACCCCATCATATACTACACGTGTGAAAAAAGGACTCTGATCATTGGAATCTTCCACATTCACTATGATTCGAGCCAGGTCTCTGTAATATGGAAACTCCTGGTCTTTCACCTAGAAAATAAAACAGGATACAGTGGTAAAAGACCTAAGATATATTGTTATATATTTATATGTTCATGTAGAGACACCAATCAGGCATAACATTATGACCACCTCCTTGTTTCTACGCTCATTGTCCATTTTATCAGCTCCACTTACTATATAGGTGCACTTTGTAGTTCTACAGTTACAGACTGTAGTCCATCTGTTTCTCTGCATACTTTGTTAGCCCCCTTTTACCCTGTTCTTCAGTGGTCAGGACCCCCATGGACCCTCACAGAGCAGGTACTATTTGGGTGGTGGATCATTCTCAGCACTGCAGTAACACTGACGTGGTGGTGGTGTGTTAGTGTGTTTTGTGCTGGTCTGAGTGAATCAGACACAACAGTGCTGCTGGAGTTTTTAAACACTGTGTCCACTCGCTGTCCACTCTATTAGACACTCCTACCTTGTCAGTCCACCTTGTAGATGTAAAGTCATCTGCTGCTGCACAGGTTGTGTTGGTCATCCTCTAGTCCTTCTTCAGAGGTCACAGGTCGCTGCCCACAGGACGCTGTTGGCCGGATATTTTTGGTTGATGGACTATTCTCAGTCCAGCAGTGACACTGAGGTGTTTAAAAACTCCAGCAGCACTGCTGTGTCTGATCCACTCATACCAGCGCAACACACACTAACACACCACCACCACGTCAGTGTTACTGCAGTGCTGAGAATGATCCACCACCCAAATAGTACCTGCTCTGTGAGGGTCCATGGGGGTCCTGACCACTGAAGAACAGGGTAAAAGGGGGCTAACAAAGTATGCAGAGAAACAGATGGACTACAGTCTGTAACTGTAGAACTACAAAGTGCACCTATATAGTAAGTGGAGCTGATAAAATGGACAATGGGCATAGAAATAAGGAGGTGGTCATAATGTTATGCCTGGTCAGTGTATATATACATATATACTTAAAAAAAAGTTTGCCCCTAAAAAAGCAGAAAGGAAGAAGAGATAAACGACTAGACTACAATGAATAGTGATGAGTAACTGAAGCCAGTGCAATAGTAGGGTAGTTCCATATCAATATTTCTGTCTGACATTCAGCATCTATGAAATCAATAATGATGACATAATAATGAAGTTAACAAATTTCACTTTCTTCACTCACATTATTATATTATATCATATTATACTGTATATTACATACAGTATTATACGTCTCCTTGTGGAACAATATCTGCACTATATGTGCATATCTGTACTAAGTAGGGTAGCATACGTGTGTGTGAGTTCTCACCATAATAGTGAGGATATGTTGGGTGCGTGCCTCGTAGTCCAAACGATCGGCCGTGTACATGACACCAGTGCCCGGATTGATCCGGAACATGCGCATGCTGGCCGGATCGACGCTGCCATGGATAGAGAAGCTGAGCTTGGCGCGTTCATCTCCATCCGTGGCTTTGATGCGCAGAATCTCCGTGTCCGCTGGTGTGTCCTCTGAAATGGAGACTTCATACATGGGCTGGGAGAACACAGGAGCGTTGTCATTGCTGTCCAAAACCCTGATATAAACCTGGAGGGAGAACCAGTGTAAACCAACAAGCTAAAATATCTGCATTATCTCATATAATAAAGAGAAGCCATAAACCTGTATACGTGTCTAGCTCAGCTGTCTCTATATATACTATGAGCAGCCAAGTCCATTAGTGTGAAGATAAAGTGGAGCATCACAAAACAAAGGACGTTCAAGTATCTAACTCACAAAGCAAATAAACACACTACACATAAATAAAGAGCCAGTGTCAGTCTTGAGCATATCCAGCAAACAAAAACAAATGCTAAGCTTCCGGCCTTACATACATTATATACTGCTGTCGGAAGAAAACCTCGTCTCTACGTTTTTTGGCGTTTTTCACTTTTTGACATAATTTGAAAATGCCTGTTGCCCTTTACATTGTGTGTAAACTTCATGATGAATGGACCAAAAGAAACAACCCAAAATGGCTTGGAAAAAAGTCTGGTTCCATTGACTTACATTAAAAGTAAAGTAGGTTTTTTCCTTCTCCTGTAAAGTTACCATTTTGGAGATACAAGGTTTTCTGACAACAGCTATATATATATATATATATACACAGTTTCTATTGTGTGCCTTTCTTTTAATTTGTTGACATCACAATGTAACCTTAATGGTTTAACAGGTGACCAATAGCTGATGTCAAATGTATCTGATGGTTTCTGGATCTAAAGGTTTTCTACAGGAAACAGATCAAGCCAATTTCCATCAGAAAGCAAAACCATATTATAATGGTCCTAATTTTTATACGGTTGTTAGAACCCAAATTGTATAACTCACATAGTGCGCTACATAGGGAGCAGTGAGCCATTTGAGATTCAGCCTCAGGATTTTCTGAGGTCTGATCATATAGATGTTTAATATTGACCATTAATGGGCTCTTTCTGTTGCAATTTTCAGCTCTCTGAACTTTAACTCTGAAACAATAAATGACTTTGGAGTTATCTGCCTTTGCTGGAAAAAAAAACAAAAAAAACAAAAAAAAAACTTAATTCAAAAAACAACAATTTTTAATAAAGTTTAATTTTGTAAGTTACCTTTTTTTTTGTTAAGTTATTTTTACTTAATCAAAACAACCCAACTGCAGTTTGATTGATATTACCTGAAATGCACAATAAAATTACATGATTTATGAATGTACATTAAAATGAAAATATCTGTTTTTGAACACTCTTCACTATATATATATATACACATATATATGCGTGCACAGTCATATGGAAACGTTTCAAACACTCCCAGTCAAATTATATATTTGCGTGCCCCAGTCAAATGACAAAATTTGTTTATATTCTAAATGAGAATAAATTTACACATCCCCCTTCTGCATTTTTATTTTAATGCACAATTACTGTTTATTTGAAAAAATATATATATAAAATGTGGTCAGTGTAAAAATGATAGCATGGTCATCTTATGTGAAGTGCTTCAGTTTAAAATAGTTCATTTTAAAGCTTTGGATTGATACTCAAGGTTTCACTATTAGGTTCGGTGTCAGAAAAAGTGGCATTGTGTCTCTAACCAACTTAGATGTTCCAGATGAGTTCCTGTAGGTTTTTGACAGCATTCGCAATTCAAACAATGTAAACAATTTGCATCTAAAATTTTGCTCATTTATTATTTTCATTTTAGCTGATCTGTGGTGGAATTTTATGATGTAAATATCGGGTAAGTGTATCGGTGCTGTATGTAATGCTGCTGCTATACCAAAACGCTGTTGTATAATTATGCATGACTCATTGTGCAGCTGTTAGTTGCCTCTTACTTTTAATGTACAACTTTATGTGATTCATGTTATTTAAATAGGCAAATGATTGACATCTAGTTTTGGTGTTCTACTGCAAATAGTCTTCTTTTCTCTATTTTTTTTTTCTTTTTTTCCGAGTTTCCATTTCTCAGTAGCAGCTTTTTGACAGCAACTCATCCTTTCACACAGCTGTGGATGTTTTCAGATCTGAAGCAAGAGAGATTTTCTCTCAAAGATAAAAAGCTGTAAGTACTTTTATCTGATGGAGACAGTTTTTATGGGCTACCATGTCTTTTTATGGTTGTTAGGAGTCCAATTTTCTCTAAATATTTAATTAATATTAGGAACTCAGCAGAAACTTCTCCACAGCCAGCCAATTTGGCTGTGAAAAAATCTGAATTAGCCATAAAATAGTCATGATCAGTGCACCTCTAGTCAAAATAATGCAGGTCAATCTTTCATTATGCTGAAATTGACAGAATATAATATTTATATCACCCTTTACAAATGAGTTAACATCATTCAGAACAGTTCATCTGGATAAACTGCCCCTAGTGTTACTCAGTCTTACTAACAATTAGAAAAGGTAGTGTTTTCAGCAGTAGTTTGTCTGAAGCTTTTACAGTAAACGCTTATCACAGTATAAACACACCTGTGTAGTTGCTGTATTTGTCCCATCAGTCACCTGGACGGTCATGTTGTAGAGAGACTGAGTCTCTGCATCGAGAGGCCTTGCCAACACTACAGTCCCCATCCCTCTGTGGATGTCAAAAGGTCCATCATAGTTTCCTATCACAAAATAAACAAATAAACACATATAAAATAGGAGAACGATAGCATCTTTTAACTGCGAGAAAGTCTTTTGCGGACGGCATATTTATGATGTTGCTGTGATGTCAAGGTTTAGCTAGGGTTGATCAGCGCTATCATTCTACCAACATCATGATTACGTGCTTTTTCCGCTTCCCTGAGAAAATCCATTCCTATGTCGCGCAGCCGTCATCAAAGTTTTTTACGGATTTCATAACATCAGCCGCTTTATGCTGGCATCTTTCTCATCAGCTGCGAGCCCCTTATCGCAATCTGCCACAAAACAGCTGCAGCAGGTTCAGGCTCCTCTGCCGCGCTTCCTCAAATCATTAATTCCGGTCCACTCTGAAGGATGAGGGCAAACTCTCCGGGCATTTTTAGTATTCATTGCATGTATCTTATCCAATTCCACTCAATTTCCACCGCACTTTACTGAGATCAGAGGAGCTGGAGTCTGGCAGGTGTCTGAGTATTCACTGTTTACTGTAACAAGAGTTCTGCTTTTGCCCCAAGCAAGCAGAGTTCTTAAAGCAAGCATGGGAAAATCTGGAAACTAGATAAGCTGACCTGGAATGGCTAATGCAAAACGCAAGCAAAATAAGAAGAGGATATTTTTCCCCCCTGCCTGTGTTGGTTGTATAGTTTCTAGTACAGAAGCTCTGAGGAATGTAGAATGTCTCTTGTGTTGTCCTTCCACCTTTCAAAGACAGACAGACGAAGAGGGAGAAATAGTGAGATGGCAAACATAATGATAATAATGATGATCATAATTGTCCATCTGTGCTGAATTGAGGCTCATTTGTTGATATGTCACTGAAAAGCTTAACATGTGGGATCAGAAAAGCAAGTCGGCATCCAGGACAACTATATGGCTGTAAGTATGTGGACACCTGACTGTCACACATAAATGAGCTTGTTGGACATCCTGTCCAACCCCCAAAACCCCAATCTTTCCACAATATATTGGAGTGTGTCTGTGGGAATTCATGCCCATTCAGTCAAAAGAGCATTTCTGAGGTCAGGCACTGATGTTGGACAAGAAGGTCTGACTCACAATCAACATTCCAAATCACTCAACTGTCTAAAATGTCTTTGTATGCTGTATCATTAAGGTTACCCTTCACTGGAACTAAGAGGGCGGGCCCAAACCCTTAAAACAGCGCCCTCGTCTACCATTTTTGGCACTACACATTCACATAGGTAGCATTATCCTGGCATCTGTCAAACCCAGATTCATCCAGCAGACTGGGCGAACACATTTTCACTGCTCCAGAGTCCAATGATGCCATGCTTTACACCACTCCAGCCGACACTTGGCATTGCACATAGTGATCTTGGTCTTATGTGCAGCTACTCAGCCATGGAAAATCACTTCACGAAGTTACTGATGCACCGGTCTTGTGCTAATATTGCTTCCAGAGGCAGTTTGTAACTCCATAGTGAGCGATGCAACAGAGGATGGGTGACGGCCCCAGCCAGTGAGTTTATGTAGTCCACTGCTTTGTGGCTGAGCTGTTGTTGCAGGGCAGATATAGCAAGACAGACAGTTTACGAACTGTCTTGTGGCAGAGGTGGCATCCTATGACCTAGTGCCACATTCAAAGTGACCGAGCTCTTCAGTGTGAACCACTCTACAGTGAGTGTTGTAATGGAGATTACAAGGCTGTGTGCTTTATTTTTCACATCTATTAGCAATGGGTGTGTCTGAAACACCTGAACTCAATAATGCACACATACTTTGGACATAAAGTGTAGAAAGGCAAAAATACACTCACTGGTCATTTCGTAAGGTACACCTACTTTGTATCTACACTTATTATCCATTTTACCATTTTACCATATACAGTTACAGATTGAAGTCCATCTGTTTCTCTGCATACATTGTTAACCACTCATTGTCTCATTCCTCAATGGTCAGGAACCCACAGGACCTCCACAGAGCAGGTATTATGTGAGTGATGAATCATTCTCCACAGGACAGGTTTTGTTCAGTAATATAACACTGTCATGTTCCTATTACTCACAAATTTAATAACAGATGACATCGTGTTTGATGTCACGTCAGATTATGTCGTGCTAATTTTTGCCAAGTATACTCTAGTTAGCGATTACAGCATCAAGCATGCCATCTGTCATGACAGTTAACAGTAATGTTAACAAGGCACTTTTATATTACTGGATAAAATCTGTTATGACAATTCATGAAACTGAGCTATTTAAAAACTATCAACACTGCTGTGTGTGACCCACTCAGACACTTATTAAGGGCTTTTCAAAAATTCTGCATAACTAAATGGTGAAGATATCTGCCATATGTCTGAAACATTGTTTTAGAGTAGTTTTGAGAAGTTCGGGCCTTTTAATTTTAAATCTATTCATGCCAGGGAGGCACATGCAGGCTTTTATAAGGCAAAATAGTCCTCACATAATTTTTTTTTTCAAATTTTTATTTTACCATTATCAACACTATACATAAAAACCCAGCTGATGTTGGTTCACTGATGGCTTCGGATAGCAAATAAAATGACTATATTTGGGTTGTGGACATCTAAACCACTGGTTTCTATCACCACCACTGTAAAGAAATCTGTCAGTAAGTTTCTCTACAATTAAGCATTTCACATCAAACCACTCCGAATGACTTTGTTTACATCTAAGTGACTGAATTCTGTAGAATGTATGAAAAATCAACAGATTTCCCCTTTAAGATACTATTACCATGTCAGTGACTGTGCAGTGCTGAGAATGGTCCACCACCAAAATAATATGCTCTGTGGTGGCCTTATGGGGGTCCTGACCATTGAAGAACAGGGTAAAAGGGGTAACAAAGTAAGCAGAGAAACAGATGGACTACAGTCTGTAACTGTAGAACTACAATTGCAAGAGCACCTATATGGTAGGTAGAGCTGATCAAATGGACAAAGAGTGTCGATACAAGATAGGTGTGCCTAATAAAACATTAAAAAAACCATCAATGCATTGTTCAAAATATAGTAGTAAACCATGCATTCATGCTAATATTGCCATAAATGAAGCTTATAATGATCAGTCAGCATAATATCAAATTTACAGTTTCCTCCTTATCCTGAATGTAATCCATTGGCCCAAGCATGTTTGGTATCTGAAGCTTGCTTCTTCAGTTTTGTACAAGGCTAACATACCTATCAAGTAAAGTCAGCTTATTCACTAAGACTAGTTAGCACGGAGCAAACGGCATGCATAAATCATCACACAACTCCCTAAAACCACTCTAAATCATTAGGTAATCTTAAACAGACTTGATTTGCTTATGATTTCAGACATTGCACAACATACTGTTATCCATAAACATACACACAAAATTCTGGTTTCAAGATTTCTGCTACTAGCCTTTTGCTATGCAATGTATTTTAGTCCTTATTTACAGATAACAGCACAGCAGGCAGAGAAACTACACATGAGCCCCTCTGAGATTACTCAACATGGTTTGAGGCAAGTATGTGATGATTTAGGCAAATATAGGCTTCCATTAGCCTATTTTACAGTAGTCTTGTAGCTCCAGTGCAAACCGGAAAAAAATTATTTCCTGCGGAAGTTAACGAAAGCTCATCTCCCACCCACCATCCTAACCACCTTCTAGAGAGGTACTACAGAGCGCATCCTGAGCAGCTGCATTACTGCCCGGTTTGGGAATTGCACCGCCTCCGACCGCAAGACCCTCAGGCGAATAGTGAGGACAGCTGAAAAGATCATCGGGGTCTCTCTTCCCTCTATCACGGACATTTACACCACACTCTGCATCCGAAAAGCCACTAGCATTGTGACTGATCCCACACACCCCTCACACGAACTGTTCTCTCTTCCGCCATCTGGAAGAAGGTATCGCAGCATTCGGGCCCTCACAGCCAGACTGGGCAACAGCTTCTTTCTACAAGCCATCAGATTCCTCAACTCCCACGGACTGAATTGAAGGACACCCACATGGACCCACACACACATATACATAACACCCACACACACATATACATAACAATATGGGATTAACTCACTCCCCACTTCTTGCAGTTCTGAATTATGTCAGAAACACTGTATTTAAATATAATTACTGCATTTCACTGAAACACTTCATTTGATATGACTGCAGATCTGAATGCTTGCATTTTTGCACGTTTTACATCACTTTAACAATGTTAGCTGCTAGAATTACTGTATCAACCAAATACTGTATACTGTATATTGCTGCTCTGGCTACCTCAGTGACCGCTATGCTCATATATGATAGGCTATCTGCTAATCTGCTACTACATCATACTATGTTACATCCTCCTTTACACAGCTCCACATGCTCTCAGTACCGCGAACTGCCTGTGTTCTGTTTTGTATTTATTGTAAGGTTTATTTATTGTACTGTACTGTCTGCTCTGTGTATATTGTATTGTTCTGCACTTGTGTTCCTGTGTTGGTCCTGGAGGAACGTTGTCTCGTTTCACTGTGTACTTGTGTTTAGCTGAAATGACAATAAAGCCTGACTTGACTTGACTTGAAAAGTTAACTTCGGAGACGAAACTCATCTTCGCTGTTGGGGTAAAGTGAACATTCTGCAAATTAGATTTCTGTCAGACCATCACTTTAAACTCGTATCCATATTGAAGCTCACCAGTGATATCAAACCAGAGTGGTGTTTCTGTTTGCCGGACAGAGACGACTCCCACACTTTCAGACACTTTAGCGCTCTCTGACACTGTGAAGTTAAAGCTCGGCGCACTGAAGCGCAAGGCCTGTAGCGAGGGCAGTGGCTTCCGTATCCACTCGATATGCAGCCGTGCTGTCGACCACTTCTGAGGGCTCCCGTTGTCCGTGGCTTTTATCTGCAGAGTACAGAGAATGCATAATGAACAAGACAAACTGAGAGGTGTACAATAGATTCCAATTGGTTTTGGAAGTAGATAATAAAGAGGCTATGATTGAATTTAAAGTGATAGCTCAGCGAAATATCTAATTTACATAATTTTCCCTTCGCCCCAAATGTGGTTGATTGCCAAGACATGTTTGGTGTCTGAAGTTTGATTCTTTAGTTTTGCACTAGCTTATGAGGCTAACACAGCTAACAAGTAATAGATCCTCAAGACTACCAATGAACACCAGGCAAACTGTGCGCCTAAATCATCACACTCGCTTCAAACTGTGCCAAGTCCTGTCCATTTTATAGATAATAGTATGTGATACAGCATCAGAAAGTAAGTTCATTTGAGATTATTTAAGACAGGGGTGCTCAGTAATCAAAGGGCCAGTGTGGCTGCAGATTTTCTTGTTTGTACTTGTTTATCAATTGGTCAGTCTTCAAATTATTGATCATGTGAGCTCCTGCTTTGTTAAAATGACATCCTGCAGCCACACCGGCCCTTTGCAGATAAGACTGGACACCCTGACTTAAGAACTCAATGTGCTTTGGGGCAAGTAAGTACGACAGCGTTTTAGGGCCACTGTTAATAAAAATAATAGTAGTAGACTTCAAGAATAAAGTCGTACTATTTCGAGAAAAAAGTTGTAATATTAAAAAAAAAAAGATGTACAATTACGACATTAAAGTGGCAGTAATACCAGGAATGGTTGCAATATTGTGGCCAAAGGCTTTGCAGAGGGAAGGCAGCACCTCCTCATGTTAAATGAGGGGCGGTGAGTTGGTGGAGTTCTACTTTCATATCGATTCACCCATAAAGAAACACTCAGTCTCCCTGTCTCTCCTGCACATCAGCACCAGCCTGTTATTAGTGTAAGAACCGGCTGAAACGGCTGAGCAGGAAACTGTGTTTATCTAGAATAAAGAGCCAGACGGACTCGGAGGAAACTGTCTGTCTGCGTTGTTGAATCTCAGGCAGGGTCGTCTACATGGCTATCAGGGGCTACATCTCCCCCCATTCAAAGAGGGCATGAAGTTTCACAGACAGTGAGAATGATGATCAAAATGATCCACAGAGAGACAGGAGTGAGTGGAGCTCCGGCGCCAGTACAGCAACCGAGACCACAATGTGTTATAGCAGCCCCCCCTACAGTTAGCCCCCCTACAGTTAGCCCACTTTATCCTCCAAATATTATGACTTTATTCTTGAAATATTCCAACTTTTTTCTCGGAATATTGCGACTTTATTCTCAAAATATTGCAACTTTATTCTCGAAATATTATGACTTTCTTTTTTTATTAACAGTGGCCCTAAAACGCCGTCATAAGTAAGTGATGATTTAGCACAATGCTAATTGGCACATAAGCTTCGTGTTAGTTGTTAGCCACATTATCCTGGAAGCGTCGGCAAGAAACTAAATAAGCAAACTTCACACAACAAACATGTCTCACCTGACTGACCAAATTTAGGGTGAGGAGGGTCTTTTTTGTCAAAGTAACTTTTTAACATAGACACGATGGTCATGTACCGTAAGGATGTCGTAGCCTCCTGCTGTGACCATCTTCCTCGAGAAAACCATGGCAGTCTTGGTGTCAATGAAGAACTTGCCATCGTCGTTGCCCTCCACTATGCTGTAGGTTAGCTCTGCGTTGGGCCCCTCGTCCCGGTCGTAGGCAAAGACTCTGTAGACAGGGTCTCCGCGCTTGTTCCTGTCCCTCTCTGGTAGGCTGATGCGGTAAACTGTCTCAGGGAATTCAGGTTTGTTGTCATTTTCATCTTGAATGTGCACTATCACCCAGACTGTGGACTGCCTGGACGCATCACTGCCGTCCGTAACCGTCACCTGAACGGACATAAACGTTTCAAAACAAAGTCATGCAGGTTCATATCATCGCTATTGTAATAGACCCTCATTCCTCCAAAGCGGAAAAGGATTTTTCATTATCATTTTTCTCCATGTAATTTTGCATTCTATTCTTTCCTTCCGTATTCTTTCCTTTGGCTCATTTGTCATGAAATTTTCACGCGACGCAAAGGGCAGCTGTCTTTTTCAAATGAGGACAATTAAAAAATGAAACTAAGAGTTATTAGGCTTTTTATTGCAATAGATTCAAATTGATTCTACAAAGGCTCTAAATGGAATGATTAAAGCAGGGTTATCAAAGTGCATTTGTAGGGTGAGCACAGCACTTGAGGCGAGCTTGAGGCTTAATTGCTTTCCCATGTTATTTAACCAATTCAATAAAACACTTGATAATAAGCCTAGGTGTTGAATCAGACGTATTAAAGCAAAGAGAACCCTAAGCTTTCAGTGCTGAGGTAAAAAAACTTCATAGCCTACAAGATAAATATATGGTACAGAAGTCAGAATAATCTTACACTGAGTCTAGTAATGAGCTATCAAATAATTACATGATAGTACAGCTGAATTGTCAGATATCTTATCAAAACTGACCCTAAAAAAGGGCTTAATGACCAGTTCCAGTGCACACTCATGATTGATTACTTGTGGTCATATTCAAAGAATGCAAATGAGGCTCTAATGAGCCTTAGAGTGAAAGAGACAATAGGTATTACACAGCTGAATGCTTATGGTGATACTTTAAACCTTACACTATATATGCTTTACATTTTTCAAGCACAATATTAGTATTTGTGTTATGTTTGACTTAAAAGACTGTAAAAGTCATATAAAATGTAATTCCTTATTCTTGTCTTTTCTTTTTCTTGTACATGAAATTTATATGTTTAAGTTGCCAAATCATGGAAGAATAAAATTCCCGTTTGATGTAGTATGTAAACAATGTTTCAAGCAATTCATTCCCAATACACTACTCCATATAATATATGAAAATTATGCTGCAAGAGCTTTGAAAAAGATCTGCCAAAGATCACGATCAGTGAAGAGTAAAAGAATAAAGTGCTGCAAAATGTGGCCAGTTACACAGATAATAACAAAGGAAAGTTAAATTAATGGCATTTAGCTATTATGTCCATTTAACATTAGATTTAGCTGGTATAATAGAGCCCTCATACTCAAACCTGGATACATTACCAGTACACATTTACTACTATTATCCGGGCTTTGTGTCATTCAAAGTTGCAGCCCTTACAGGCTACTGGAGGCACACATTCACATTTGCCGCAATTACATATGATGTAACATTCTCAACATGAATGACCAGCAGTTCCTTTATTTCTCTATCATGTGCAAAATACAGTCTTACTACGTTTTCTCTTGCAGAGACTGAAAACTCCACTGTAAAAACAAAAGCACAACACAAACGTTCTGCTGTACTGGCGCTGCTGCATCACTTTTGTGCACACATGAAGGCTTCTCTCAAGTGGTTTGCCCCTACAGTCATGTACAAAATACACTCTCTTTTACTCAAACTAACATTAAACTAACCTAAAACATGCAGCAGAAATTAGTGATGGCCATTCCAGCTCTTTTAGATCAATCAACTTAACTCAACCATTAGAACCATTAGACTCTTTTGGCTCCCAAACATCTCTTCATTCAGTAGTTCTTCCTATTTCTAAATGTTTTTTCCACAAAACTAGCTAGAGCACTGAGCATTTTATTTTAAAAACTGACTGTCAGTAAGTTAATATACAATTAATTTCACAAAGCAAGAATTTTGGGCAAAATGCAGGCAAATCCATCAACCAGTCATCAACAATACAAGCAAAACTCAGAGGAGCTCCCAAGTGTAACTGTGTTCAAGTTTGCATTGAAAAAATTCATTCTATGCCTCACAGCGTTATGCAGGTACGCAGCCGATGGCAGCATGAAGCCACACAAACAATGGCATGGTGACCACAGCGCTGGCGAAAATGAATGATTATCAGAGAAGAGCTGTAGCAGTGCAGATTGATTATTTATTTGGGGCTCCCCAAAATAATCAACATCCGGTTTATTTCACTGCTGCGGTCGACAGCAAAAGTCTGGAAAACTGAACTCTTTCCTGAACGGTCCCTTTACCGCTGTGGCCTCCAGAATGATGCAATTTTACATGACAGCTCCACTGAAAACAATGGAATATCCAGTTTGCCATTGTCCATCTACCGCAAACATGTGAACGCAGCATAGCGTTGGCCCTATCCGGTAATTGGGAGAGACTACCAGGCAGCTAGCAGGTAACAGCTTTTCAATGCAAGTTGGCTCCCATCATTCATATTGAGCTGGCTTAAAGAGATGAGTGATTTGCAAATGACACATCACTATCAGAAACGTTCAGCTTTGCCCAAGTAAAAACATTTTTGCTGTCTTTCCGAGTAACACTGGCTTCTTCGATGACATCTTGATTATGGCTGGCAAAATGAAACATTTCTGTGGCACGTTTGGTTTTAATGTGAGCTTTTTAAAGTTTTCCTTAAGTGAAAAAAGTGTGTTTTGTATATAATTTTAGTAGCATGCTGCAAGATAGAAGCAGCAAAGCGTGCTGGCTCTGCATAAAAGAGATGCGACATCGCTGGTGGACGTATAAATGATAGTAACTTCAGGTTTAAATGCCGCACGAATCTTTCTTTTACTCATCAGTGCTGAATGCAGGGATATACATCACTGTGACAATTGTGATGTCTGGCAGATCTCGCTAAAATCTCATGTAGAAAGTCATGGTGAAGTACCAACTTAGACTGCAGCGGATGTTGCTATGCAAACTTTGCTTATATCGGAAATTAAATCACGCAACTACAATCGTGCAACTAGCCAATTTAGCCTAAAAAAGTTTAGCCCCGCCCACTCCCACTGAAGTTATAAGGAGTGTTTCATCCTGGACTGCTTCTTGAATGAGACTCAACCAGGCAAAAATGAACTAAATAAACAATCAAATGATACATTAAATTACAGAAGAGGAAAACAATAAAATATCAATTACTAATCACTCAGGTCTGCATTGACCACATGGCTGCCTAAACTGCATTACGTTTCTGCACGTCCACTCATACGATAGGATATATTCATCAGAATTACATCTGACTTGAAATTCAGGAAGGCTTTTACCATCGAACAGCTTGCAGAAATCATCTAGGATGAAATGCCACACGAGTCGACACTGCAAAATTTGCATGGGAGAAGATACAGCGTTCGGGATTTCACAGCGAGGGAGTAAATAAGCATGAATAATTCTGCTTTAGCGGATCAATGCATACATTAAGTTATAGGATATAATAAATCACACTTGAGTGGTGAAGCACAGTGTGTGATGGATATGAAGGAAAAAAAAGGAAAGTAAGATATAAAAAAACGTTTTTTACATAGGATGAGGGGTTAAACACGGCGTATGCTAATGAACATCACAGCCTATGAATGCACTTCTGCGTCTGCTGTCTTCACAGATCCATTAGATAATAGCCAGTGAAAGGCCCGCAGGCCGCACTGATCAGCATACTGCCACACAGAAGGGGTCTCTTGATCTCACCCACAGTTTGAGCTCGGGGCTGCTGCTCTAAAGAGTTCAAAACCATGTCACATGATCGTCAGGACAAAGAAATTGATGCTTCTCCCTCCAGTTCGTGCACGTGGGGATGTAATCACGGGGAATCACGCCCATGCTATCGACCCGCGCCGCTGACCAACTCTGACCACGCTGATCAATGACCGCTTGTTCACCAGACTGTGTCAAAATCTGAATAATTCCACGTGTGTTCCATAACAGGCCTCCCTGTCACTTTTACTGGAGGTCTATTGCTTTGCACTGCCCTCATCAAGAACTTCATTACAAAGTCATTAAAGTGCACAGTAATGGCTCTTATTTTGCCCTGTATGCAATCTATCCTGCTTTAAATAATCAATAGCATATAAGGGCCTGTCCTTTTCCTATGCAAAGTGCTTTTTTTTCCAGCTGAAAGATGCGCTCATGCAACAAATCAATGGACAGATAATGTAAACATCGCGTATTGCTTGATAAAATCAACAAAATACTGAAAACAACACAAAATTCTATTCAACTCAATGCTTTTACATGTAAGACGGACGATTCTCACAGTTATAGCGTGGCTGAATCTGCAATGTAGCAAAGCAATAAACCATTTTAAGAAGAAATGATATGATGAAATACATTCATGTTTAATAAATTAGCTGTTATTAATATTATTATACTAATAATATTATTTAATGCAATTAACAGCAAATCCTCCAAAAATCCAATACAGTTCAATCTAATCTTATTCCTACACCCAGTAAATGAACAAAATTTCCTGCAAAGTATAAACAGACTATACATATTACATGCTAACAACATCCTAACATGACAGAGAAGTGGGAAAAATAAAAATGTAAATAATCTTTATTGTTGGGATGCTTGAATGCTTTTGTGCCAATGTTTGTAATCGAATCTGAAAGAAAGAAAAAACCTGAACTTGTGTGAGAGAAACGGTTTGGTTAGAAGATTCTATTTATAGCTCACACAAATTACTTGCTCTAATAAAATCATCTTAACTTTTTATTTTGTTCATAAATTATGGTAAATGCACATGCATGAAACCATAAAGCACTGTCATTACACATAAATGTTTAGTGTAAAAATCTGTTAATTTTAACCCGTGTTAAGATAACGCTCCTCACATGGTATGTCAGCGCCAAGCTAGAAGGGTTAGGTCAGCGTTACGTTGGATTTGATGACAGGTGTAAGGTCTAGATGAATATAAGTTCACAACAGGCATGTAAGTACATGCAAAATCTTCACTCTGTGTTTACTTTGAGTTTTTAGTAATTCCTTCTGTGAAGGCTTGAACTTCAAGTTTGTCTTGGATTGGAAAGATTGGATCGTTAGCCTGTTAGCCGGTTAGCTTTCTACTAACTTGCTCAGTTAAATCCAATCAGTTAGAGAGGGTCTGTTAAGCTGCTCACGTGATATGCACTGCGCTCGCCGCTTGTGTCAGCGCCAAGCTGTTTTCACACCACTCCAGTTAGATACAAAAGTGGGCAGCCCTCTTCAGTAAAACTAGCCCTTTAGGTAGTGACAGGACCAGACACGCCTACTGCCCTCCTATTGGCTGTGCTGAGACTTGGTCTATGTCACGCAATAGTTGAAAACATTTAAACATTATATGGTCTGTCGCTGTGGACTGTATTCTGCTGCACTTTCCAAGCTCTGAGCTCTGCACAGAAATACCTGTGTCTGCACTACGCAATCAACTGATAATGATGTGTTTGAAAGACACATGGTTCAGTTTTAATGTTATGACGAGCTTTGGGAATGTGGGTAGATATGAAAAGCTGAAAAGACACTGTACCTCTAAAAAGTGCTCGGCCTGCTGCTCTCTGTCCAGTTTTCTTGACGTTGTGGTGATGAGTCCTTAAAGAAACAAAAAAGTTTCGTCATACAAGGCAAAATATTTCAAACTATCAAACCATTAAAATAAATGCTTTCATACCTTAATGTGATAAACTTGGCCAAAAAAAAAATGTAATGAAACTAATCTTTGTTAAAGCTTCATGTAAACTATGTAAGTTTTGGGGATTTGGAGACCTCTCTGGTGGAAATAAGGAATTGCACGCAAGCAGAGGAACAGTCTGTAACACTGGTTGTGCGTCAGACCCCTTCCCTGTTAAGATGAATCTGGTGATTGTAAGCACACTGAAAAAGTATTCAAAGAGAACTCAGTCAAAATTTGGTGAACGATGTGTTTTCTGAGGATTACCTAATATTGTCATCATACTCTTTACTTTAGTCCTAAACATAATAGACATCCTGAGGTAAACTGGCATCACCCCATCTCTCTATCCGAATAGTACTTCCAACAGTATATTGTTGCATTTGAGGCTTAATCATTAAGCTGGATCTCCTTTTTGAGCCTGTAAGCACAACGTTAATATTTAAAGACGTATGATGTGGTCCGAAGTTCTCAACTGCAAAATCCAACCTACGGTTTCAGGCTTTACAGGGGGAGACGGTCTGCTCTATGGCGGATTTTCTGTTTGCATCACTGCACCGCTGTTCCCACCCTTACCACTGCACTCCTGTTGAGTTCTTTAAAGATGGAGCCAGAAACTTTGATTTTTCTTTTATTTTTTCATTTATTAGAGATAGAGATGCTTCACCGCCGGCCACTGATGAGATTGGGGTTCTTTTACATTTGTATCATTTGCTATTCGTCTCAGTTGAAACCTAGTACTTATATTTAAAAGTGTCTCCGCAACCACCATTCGCTCCTCTTCCGACGCCGTCATGTTCTCGAATCATCGCCGGCACGCAATGAACCTCGGGATATGCTGGCTGGTGAAGGATCCACCCGTTGAATCCTTTGTTGCCATAGAAAAGAAGGACACATTTCTTGACTGCATATGAAGGAGCCTTCAAAATGGGACAGCCTAGTTGCGCCGCTGTGATGCAATCGGCCTTCAAATGCAGACTCTGAAGGACACAGCCCCTGAATTGGGACACAGCTATTATCTTGTTCAAAGGCAGGGATACTGACAGGCCTGTTAAATGTTGTTTACCCTGATTGGCTATTTCTTTCTGAAACAGCTGTCAAGTTTTCGTTTGTACTTTCCAGTTGGTATAGATTTGTGTGAGTTGTAGAGAATAACATGCAAGCAAAGTAATCAGTAGTGGGATTAATTTTTCCAGGACATAATAAGTAAATAGTAATTTTGAATGGATTACTTATTTAAATTACTTCACAATGGCTGTTGCTACTGTTTTTAGTTATGCAATGTTTTTTATGTTTCATTTTCATATATAACAGTATGTCATACAGTTTTAAATAACACAAAGTCTAACTGAGATTATATAATAACCTGATGCAAGTGTGTGATGATTTAGACATGCACTTGGCACAATTCTAATTGTTTTCTATTACTTGTCAGCTACATTAGCCTCGTAACTCTAGCACAAAACTAAAGAAGTAAACTTTGGACACAATGTCTAGGTTGATTAACTACATTTGGGTTAAGGAGGGAAAAGGAATAAATGTAATTTCCCCACAAACTATCGTTTTGCCATGAAATGAACAAAAGCTCTACAGAAGACTTTGAAATCAGAATCAGTAGCAATTATCAGTCCATTTGCAAGTATATGCAGCAACACGGCAAGTGGCGAAATCCAGCATGGTTGTAGCGTCTGTGTGGAGTGGAGGAGGGAGGGGGCAGCAGCCGTCGGAGCTCAGGGGGCTTCTGGCATAACCCCATTTCACAGATGGCAAGAAGTGGACTTGTCAAGCTCTTTTTCAGAGCCCCCTGTGGCCTTCAGAAAGCCTTAAAACCACCTCAAGACCCAGAGAGGTCCAGACTGGAGAGATATTTTGGAATTTAAACTTTTCCTTCAGGCTGGAGACACCTGGTTGGAGACTAGTTAAATAACGAAGAATGGGTCAAACGACTTGACCTAAAATACAACTGCGGACACAACATTGGGCTTCATGAAGTTATGCTTGTGACTTATCACACACATCATCATCAGAGCCCAACTAATATATAAATTGGCCAACAATACTGGTTGATGCTGACAATCTATGGTTTTATTAGTCTCAATCACAGACAATGACGGTTCTGCCAGTGGGGAACCCAATGTGTAGCATTGCAAAAGATATATAAACACCTTCTGCTTGAACTTTTCACTGTATGAAAGTTCAATAAGAAACAGAAGTTAAGAAGAATCATTGAAGTTAAGACAAGATCTGGCAGACAAAGAAAAATCTCTGGAAAAAAGCTCGTAGACTGTTCAGGTGTGCAAAGCAAAACCCCCACATGACTGCCAAGGAACTACAGGTAGATTTGGCTGAAACGGGAATAGTGATGCACTGGTCCACTGTGCACTTGTTACATCAACTACATGGAGGAGTCAACATCTGTTCCTGCTAAAGCCTGAGTAGACTGATAAATCAATGTGATGACAATCTGTGGACAGATCTGAAACACACATGCAAGATGACCTGTGCCTGTTTCTATATTAGAAGCATTATTGACTGACATTGTCAAGTGGTTTTAGTAAGACACAGATGCAATGGATTAGAGTTACATATTGAGATGGCTGGATGACCCAATGTCCTGTCAGTGCAGCACCAAAAAGGGTTATGATGTTATGATGTCAAGCTTCATAACAATAGCAGAACTCTTTTGGTGCTGTACAGAGCCATTTTCAAAAGGGTTCTTTATAGAACCATCTACAACACATTCACCATCGCTCTGAAGAACCATTTCACCATGCAAAGAATTATTTCAGCATTAAATGGTTCTATATAGAACTCATGGTTCTAAATAGAGCCATACCTTTTACTAAAAAAACGCTTGAAGAACCATCTTTTTTTAAGAGCGTAGTTAAAGGAACTAGTAGACTTTTAATACTATTTATTAATGATCATAGTAGCACAAGTTAAGTATAGAAACACGAAATAATTAATGTAAATTATAAGCTTTTTTTCCAAGTTTGAAGCAGTTATCTTGTTAGCGATTGCTAATATTCATATAAAGTGAGCTAAATTATCTAGCAAAATTATCACCTCTACAAAACAGCAAACTATCTAACTAAAAGCTCAAAGATGAGTTATTGATCAGCTAACATGGACAACTTTGGAGGTTATTAGTTGGCAAAAAAATTAATATTAAAGTGAGCTAACTTACGTTCCTTATTAAACTGGTGTTAGTTAGCCAGCTGGCTAACTAATATTCAGCTTAATTAGCTAGCTTACACAACCTGCAGCAGGCTAGCGACCAGAGTAGTCAGACATAGTAGGTAGAAATCTAAAATAATGTCATAAAAGTACATTTTAAACATTTAACTTCATAAATTCTGAGGATAACTGCAGTGAGACAGTAGCAATGCAGCAGAGGCATGAGAGAGAGAGAGAGAGAGATAGAGAGAGAGAGAGAGAGAGAGAGAGAGAGAGAGAGAGACAGCAAGACACACACATCAGAGAGAGAATATGTCTATTGTTGAAGTGCTACACTGAATATATTTTACGTTGTTGGAGTCTCTTTTTCACCTTATAATAATGTAGCACAGCTTATTTATCCTACAGTTATACTACCTTCCTCATATATGTGTCGTGTACATAGTACAATACATTTTCCCACAGTTACGAGTTCTCACACTGATCTAGTACAACATATTTATACTATGGAATTAACCTGTTCTGATGCTTATTCTTTCATAATTATCAGCTGGATATATTTTATAACAACATGTTCATGATACTGATGTGGCTTATGAAACCTGTACAAATATCTGGAACTAACATTCATGTAAAACAGTGTACTACACTGTATTACACTGAAACAGCTGCCTTTATGTCAACCTACATTTCATATAATTTAAGCATTTAGAATAATAGAGATCAAATCAAATCTTGAAGAGTCTGGTAAAGTTTCCATCTCAATGTGACTTCTTGTCCACAAATACTGTGCTTATTAAATTAAAGAGAGCTTTCATAATTAAAAAGTTCTATCTGTGTTTGGTCTATTCCAGCCTATTTCCAAATATCCTACAATTGAAACATTTAGCAGTCAAAAGTAATTCAAGGTAATGACTTTGTTAGGATAGGAATGTACAAACTTGTACTTTGCCAGAACCCCAATTCCAAAAAAGTTGGGACGCTGTGTAAAATATAAATAAATGTAAATAAAAACAGATTACATAGATCGGCAAATCTCATAGACCCATATTTTATTCACAGTAGAACATAGAACACATATCAGATGTTAAAAGTGAGATATTTTACCATATCAAGAAAAATCTTAACTAATTTAGAACTTGATGGCAGCAATGCATCTTTAAAAAGTTGGCACAGGGTCGTATCTACCATTGTGTAGCATCCCCTCTTCTTTTAACAACAGTCTGTAAACATCTGGTAAGTGAGGAGACCAGTTGCTGGAGTTTTGGGAGAGGAATGTTGTCCCATTCTTGTCTGATGTGGGATTCTAGCTGTTTGACAGTTCTGGGTCTTCTTTGCCAGATTTTTCGTTTCATGATGCCAAATGTTTTCTATTGGTGAAAGGTCTGGACTGCAGACAGGCCAGTTCAGCACCCGGACTCTTCTTCTGAGAAGCCATGCTGTTGTGATGGATGCAGTATGTGGTTTTACATTGTCTTGCTGAAATATGCAAGGCCTTCCCTGAAAGAGACGCTGTCTGGATGGGAGTATATGTTGTTCTAAAACCTCTATATACTGTTCAGCATTGAAGGAGCCTTTCTAGATGCGTAAGCTGCCCATGCCATAGGCACTAATGCAACCCCAGGCCATCAGAGATGAAGGCTTTTGAACTGTGCGCTGATAACAAGCTGGATGGTCCCTCTCCTCTTGAGTCTGCAAGACATGGTGTCCGTGGTTTCCAAAAAGAATTTCAAAATTTGATTCT